TTTATCCTCTAAAGATATTTAAAGTTGTAACAGACAACTAGAGAGTATTCTGCAAGAGAAGAATCTAACTGTGACTTGGTGAGACTTAACTACAGTAAATTGAATAGAAAAATAATATACATAAAAAGGCAACATGTAATTTAAAGAAAAAATGGGGAACTTGAAAGCTAGAAAATCTGAGTTAGAGCTTTGGTCTGTCCTTATCAATTTTATAATCTTGATTTAAACTCCATGTATTATTAATTGTAAATGATGGACACATAATTTGCCCTAAACCAAACTGAGAAAATTATAAATATTAAAGAATTATGCCAGATGTGGTGGCACACACCTAAAATCCCAACACTTGGGAGGTTAAAGCAAAAGGATTGCTGCAAGTGTCAAGGCCAGCCTGGGCAACACAGTGAGTTCAAGGCCAGCCTGAACTACATAGTGAAACCCTGTCTCAAAAAGACAAAACAAAAAAGTGTGTATTGTATAGGTTATATATACTACCATAGGATATCATTACATGAAAATATTTTACTCAAAGGGAAATGAATATGCAAATACAAAGTAAAAAAAAATGTATACACACTTCAGTAGTTTGCAGTACTAATAAATGTCTGGAAGCCACTTCGAGCACCTCTTATAACTGTAGAGGCCAAGGTAACTTGTGTCAATCTCATGATGCAGCAATAAATTTAGTGTTAAAATATTTATACAACTTTTTTTTCCTGATATATATATATATATATTTTTTTTTTTGGCAGATTCTACACATTTTTTAAAAAAATTTAATTGCTGATTTTAAAATTTCAATTCAAATCGCATTATTCTGAGAATTCCTAATTATTAAAAGAGAAAGGGCACATCTTCAAGTAAAGCTTTAACACATCATCAAAACCCAGTTTTAACATGAGGCCAAAGTTAAGTTTCCTGTTCATGAAAATATGACATGGTCAATTTAGTTCTACAAAAAGAATTTCTTTTCTTGTGTGTGTGTGTGTGTGTGTGTGTGTGTATGTGTTTTCCTGGGGATCCACTAAGGCCTCCCACAAATTAAGCAAGTGCTCTATCACTAGGCAACACCCTCAGCTTAATAAGAACCATTTCTAATAATTCTGTCAGATCACCAAGATACAAAACAGTTCTTCCAATTACTACGCAAGAACCAGAAATACAGCCTGCTGTTTCTGGAACCCATATCACTTTGAGAGGCAATTCATACCCATTTTTACATAACTCATACAAGAGCAATGACACAGGTACACTCAGTGATTTTTCCAACTTTTTGCTCTGGACTCATAATGCTCCAGAGAAATATATATAAAATGCATCATTTACATGTTTATGAATGTCCACCTCAAATGTTATAAAAATACCTACATGTCAACTCGATGCCATACACTATGTGTTAACAAATGGAAACCACCAATGTGTTAAGTGGTGTATCAAAAGGCTAACACACTTCTGTAATGATTTCAAATAAAATTTCACCAACTCACAGAATAAATATGAACGTAACTGTGTTACTAACTAGGAAAACTGCAGCTCTCTATATTTTTAAAATTCACTTTAGACTCCACATGTCAACTCATGCAAGACTATGAGCACAGCACCACAGACCTACATGAATCAAGATTTTACATTGAGTAGCTAAAAGAAAAGACAAAAATACAACAATACAAAGTTAGTTCTAAGTATCCTAACTTCAATTTTAATTTTGTACTTATCAACTGATTGGCTTTACAAGAAAATGTAAAATAATTTCACCTTGCAGAGAATGATTAATGCAACTTTGAAAATAGCAAAACAAATTTAACCAAAAGCATTATATGACAACTCCAGCAGAAAATGTATCACTAATGAAAATGCTAATTTTCATAGGTATATATATATATATATATATATATATAGTTAAAATTCCCACATCGCTTCAACAACTTAACAAGTTTAAAGCTGAACTCATTGCTAAGAAAATTTCATTACATCAAAAGCTTCCATTTACCTGCAAAACAAAAGGAACACCAAAATCCACAAGCCCTAGACAAAGCAAGGGTGCATTTATTTCAATAAATACCCTTATAACTTTCCTACCTACCTATACTGTCCCTGAAAATACTGTTAAGGAATATGACCTAAAAGTCATTTACTGAGTCCACTGCAAGAGCATTCTATGCTCTCTACCTCTCAGAAAAAATTCTATTGCTAAACTCTCAGGAGCAGAAGAAAGCAGGTAGGAGGATTGAAAACAATTAGTAGAGGCAGTATTTTCCATCTGAATGCAGTAATCAGTACAGATTGAAAGCAGTAGTAATCTGACATTTTTATCATTTTTCATGTGCTCATTCTAAACACTGAAAACTGTGAGTCTCCTAGTCTCACAGAACTTACAAAGCAAGTGACTGAAAGTTATCCACAGAACTACTTCGATTTTTAAAGGGCTGTTCAGTATACTATATAATCATGAATATAGTTTGTGCTTTAAGCTTTTTAAAAAAAATTAAAAGAGTGGAAACTGAGGAGTACAATGATTATGGAAAGGGAACAAATGAATGTGTTAATTTAACTACCAAATAATAACAGAAGGTTACAGAGTTCTAAGTATCCTAAGTGACCAATCAGAAATCAAACATAGCTAAATTCCATCCCAGCCCCAGCAGGTCCCTAACACAAGAATAAAACCCTTCTTATCTTGTTCAGCCATGTGTCGCCTGCCACAAACTGCAAAACAGAACAACGCCCAAAACCAGCTAGTCTGATTTCAACTGAAGACAGACAGACTCTGTAGTTAGAAGCACCACAATGAAAGAACTCCAACTCACACAGCTGGCCTGATGGTTCTGCACACTCTACAGAACAAAGCCATACCACATAGAGTACTTCATACTTGAAAGGATCTCTAAAAAGCTACACTGGCACTATTAATTTGCCAGTACTCCTAAGAATCAACAAAGTGTACCTATCACACACTGGAGTTAGTGAGAAAAGAGGACAATGTAGGTCGGGCTGAGAGGAAGACTGAAATTATTCCATATTAGTAACTTTGCTAAGGCACCCTGGCATAGAAATAGTATTAAACCAGTATGTTCAGATTTCACTCAACATATATTCAAATCAGAACAATTACTCTCAAACAGAAATGGTGTCTTTTATATTTATGGAATATCTAGAAATGTTTAAAGAAAAAGTAGTGATCATATAATAATTCTCACTGTAAAAACAGTAAGTTTCTAGAAAACAGATCTCAGCAAAATTAAGCAGCTCCTTAAAAGGCCTTCAACATATCTTTTAACCATGTAAAACTGGGTAGAACCTGAACCAGTTAAAGAATATTAATCCCAAAGCAATTTGCAGATTAACCTTTAAATACTCATTTTTAAAAATTTAAATCATTCATGTATAGCACAGTACTTGGCAAAGAACAGGCTTTCCAAAAGTGCATGCTTACTGCATGCTATATACTAAGTTATAAAAAAGTCATAAATCCCACATTTTCTAAAGATAAGGGAAAAAAGAAAAAGAATACGTGAAAGCAAAGCTCTAAAAATCATTACTTGGGAGCTTTGAAGTGATATTCTCTGAAATACACTGGTGATTCTAAATTCCGTTTGTACAAATTAAACATCCCAGCACATCAATGAATATCATCACTACATCAGTTTTGGTAAGACCTCTAGTCCACACTCTCAACAAAAAGGGTAAAAATTGAATGAACCAGGAAAACAATTATTCACACACTGGTGAAAGTGATTTCTCAGAAGCAAAACACCCTGAAAGAAAAAGAAATCAGGATAACTAGGAAGAAAGAAAGAGAGAGAGAGAAAAAAAAGCACGGACAGTACTCATGTAAAGTATATTCTAGAAAAATCAAAAATCATTTCACTGAAAATGAAAACCCATTTAACAAAATATGCAGAGGGTAACTATAAACCGTTTAAATATTTAATGGAATCTTTTAGGTGACCATTCATGTGACACTGGAAAGTATCAACAGGAAGAGGAAGTTCTGTTTCTGGAGTAGCTGTTATGGTATGATAATGGAATTTGGCCCTTTTAAAATCAACAAATGAGCTTCACAATTGGGTAAAATACTCTTATTAATAAATTAAATTACTTTCTGCAGGAGTACTGCTGTTCTACTTTTCATCAAAGAACTTTGGCTTTTCTAGTTCAGTTATTTGATCTATTATAATGTACTAGCTTGAAGGTTGACTTAAAAGCAATGCAAGCTGACAAAAATTTGGGGGCTCCACACAGTCATATTTTAATTCTTTCAGCGTAAGGGAACTCCACGTCAACCATATATGGTTTATAAACATCACCATACAACACGGATAAGCAAATAAAGTCCACAGACACATTTACATCATGCATAGGGTACACATCCCTAAGACATAAATGTTTCTGGAAGATGAAATACTAAAATTTAATTATTGAAAGCAAGCCTCAGAATTTTCCCTAGTTTCTTTCAGCTTTTGTATATTACCTCCAACAACAGCCTGTGATTTACTGGCGATGTCAACATTCGGGAAAATTATTCGACAATTAATAATTAAACACTAGGCGGATAAACACTTAAAAGAGTTCAAGTTCACAAATCACCATGCAGTGGGCTGAAAATTAAGCTCACAGATCGAAATTCCTAAAATCTAATACCATCTAAAGAACTACTGACAGGAATAAAGCCTGATGATGTACCAATTCCCACTGATTTCGGGCAGAGTGACTTTTCCCTGGTTCCATGACTAGCACAGAATCCTAATGTACACTACAGACAAAAAGCCAAAAATTAGGTTTTCCCTACTTCTTCTCAGAACCTGGGGAAAGTTTCTCTCCAGAAAAACTGTATTTCCAAATTCAATCAACCGGAGAAGTTGGCAAGAAACCTAGACTAACTGCAAAGCTCCGCAAACATCCACTTTCCTGTACCTGTCAATTTCACTGGCCAAAGGCAAACTGCGATCACCCGGCCGAATCTTAGGAGGGGCTAAGCGAAAGAGGAACTGCATACCCACCTGTCGGTGATAGTAGACTGTGTGCCACTCATTGGGGCCCTTGGCAAGAGGTCCTCCTTTTATCCAACTTGCATTTTACAAAAACACCTCCACCCCACCCCCAGTGCTCTGGGATCAGGCCCAATTCCGGCGGGGACACAAAAGTCCAACTCAAAACTCCATTCAGTCATCTAGAACATCCGATGGAAGGGGTCAAGGAAAGGGGACGAGGGCTGGAGCAAAACAAGTTATCTCCCAACACAAACCCAGAAAGTCAGCCAGAAGGCGAGTTCTAGAACTAGCGATAAATCTTGCCGAAAGCAGAGGAAGAAAACTTGGTCACAGAGAAGTCCGCGAGCCGTGGGAAGGGGACCCGGGAATCCCTCCGGGGCAGGGACGCGACGCCCGCCGCGGCAGGGTCGGGCCCTCTGCTCCCTGCTCTCTATCTCCGGCTGCCGGCTGCTCGTGGCCGCAGCCTCGGCTGCCTCTCCGGCCGTTCCGCGCCGGGCTCACGCCGCCCCATGTCCCCGGGCCGGGGCCCCTCTCGTCTTCCTCGCCCCCCACCAGGCTCCAGGTGCCAGGGGAGTAGGTCTCGCAGCGCGAGGTGACAGGGAGCGAGTCTCTCAGCGCCGCGGGCTGCTCCCCATCCCGGAGGCCCAGACGGCTCTTCCGCACTCCGCACAGGCGGCGGCGGCGGCGGCTCCTCCCCGACGCTCCGGTAGGCGGCGGTTCCCTCGAGGAGCGGGACGTCCTGTCCGGCCCGGCCTGAAGCTGCGACGGCGGCGGCGACTCCCAATGCAGGGCCGGCTCGCCGGGTCCTGGGGGCCCTCGCGGGAGCGCGCGTGAAGGGCGGGGGAGGCCGCCGGCGGTGGGGGCCGCGCGACAACTGCGGGCGCGCGCGCGCGGGTTCCGGTTCCGGTTCTGTCTTCCCGGCCCCGGCGCGTCCAGCGCCGGCGACTGAGCGAGAAGCCCGTCCCCTCCCCCGCCGACTCTTGGAGCCTCCTCCCCTCAGGGCCGGAGTCGCCTCACCCGGATCCCTCCGCCGCCGTCCTCTGCGTGATGCCGCCGTCCTCTGCGTGATCTCGCCGCGCGGCACGGGCGCTTCCGCCAGGGAGTAAAAAAGTAGTTCCGCGGGGCCTCGGAGGTAGCTACGGCGGTCCCACCGCTGCCCCTCCGCTGCCTCCGGGGCTCTTGAGGGCTCGGGACGTGCACTTTGGAGTGCGGCCTGTCCCGAGTCGACCTTAGGCCAGGCCCGCCGAGGAGCACTGCCTCGGAGCAGAGGTGTTCAGGTCCCGTCCCTGGTCCTGGAAACTTTTATTCCTTGCGGGAGGGACCCGGCTGCCTGCTTTCTGACAACACGTACGAGACGGATGGGTCGCTGCACGCCAGTCCTCGTGCAGATGCGCGGGCAGCGTCCCTCCGGGGAAGCAAAGCCCCGCGCGTGGACCGCTCACCTGGCACCTGCCGGCTCTCCCCGCGACAGGGCCGCCGCGCACCAGCCCCGGGCTGCGGAGGGGGCGCCGGCGGGGAGAGGGCCGGGGACTGCGGCCGGGAGCTCTCGGGGTAAATAAATACTGCGACTCTCTTACCTTGGCAAAATGAAATGCACGTATCATTTGCCACTTTGAGAAAGCATGGCGCTTTCCACAGCGATTCACAAGCTTGCTGTGGAAAAAGAAAAAAAATGAAGCACAGGGAACCAAGCCTATGGCTAGAAGTCCACGCCTGTCTGAAGGGTTCCCGGTGTTTTTCCCGTGTCTTTTTTGTACCGTGTAGAGACACTTAGATACTCGTCTAGTTTTATGATTGAATAGTTGAATGTTGTAGTAATTGAAGTACCACCTGTAATATAGTTTGCAAATTCTGCCTGCAAACGTCTAAATGGCTGTCCTTCATATTCTAGCTATTTTCAGATTTCTGAATTTAAAGCAGCGTCGGTGGTAAGCGACTTCAGCCATTTTGTGGAAATCCAATCTAATAAACAGTGGATGTGAGAGAGAAAACAATTAGCTCTTAACAATGCTGTTCTAAAAGTCGTTCCACAACAGTTCGTGAAAGGATCATTATCCCTGAATAGATGCATGAGCTCCGGCTGACGTTAGAAAGGGTAAAAAAAGAAAAAGATAAACAAAGGCCAAAGATGACTGTTGCTGGATTTTTTAAGTTCAAGGCACAGCAAGCTAATTTTGTAATGTTTATTTTTGGAAAGAATAGAAGCCGATTAAGGGTTCCAAGCCACTTTCCTAATGATCTGGTCTGGACATATTGCCACCTGCTGGTGTATCCTAACATGACAACTTTTATCCTGAAGAATCCCAATTGTTTCTGCATATAACTGGAAAGAGTTCCATCGTTCATAGACAAAAAGCAAAATGCAAATCTTACCCAAAACTTCAATAAACTTTTGTTAAGTATATTAAGTCTTATTTTTCCTTATTCTAATGATGTTACTATGGAAGTATCAAAAGCATTGGACCCCATGACTCATCATAGATTTTAAAAATGAGTCCCCAAACCAGTAGTGATGGTGCAACCTGTAATCCTAGCACTAGGGAGGCTGAGGCAGGAAAATCTAGAATCCTTGCAAGTTCGAGATCCATCTGGGGCTACAAGGTGAGCTCAAGACCAGCTTGAACTGCATTGTGAGACCCTGTCTCAAGAAGTTAAAAAAAAAAGAGAGAGTTCCCATCTTCCCTTCAGGTATGCCTTCAGTACTTCAGCTTAAGGAATAAAACAAACTGGGAAAGATTCCTAATCCACCTTCTCTTCCTTGCATACAAAATCTCTTGGCAAGCTGCAGTCAAGATCTTTCCAAACTTAACAGACCCCAGGATGTAGCTGTGAGCAAAGGAAAGCTTCAGAAGATGGTAAGCAAAGGATTGAATAACCAGTGGCTATTCACTCCAGAAAAGAAAAAAAGATGAAAATCTCCATAGTCAACCACAAAACACTAATGATAAAAACATCCTCTGAAAGCTGCTTGGCCACTGCTGAAGCTCCATTGTTCTAAACGCTCCATCTAGGGAAACTTCTCAGAAGACCTCTGGCCTTGGTAAAGGGTCAGGGTCGGCTACCTGGAGACACCACTGACCTGTCACTAGACAGGCTCTCGGAGGAAGTTTTCCAGCACACTCTCAACCTTCATCCATCATTCCAACATACTTAGTAAGTACCTGCTGTATGTCCAGGACTGTTTCAGGGATCAGAAGTCCAGTTCTCAGGAAAGCAAGAGACACTGTCTTCATGGACTCATCCCATGTCATTATTTCAAGGCTACTACCCAAACAGGTGTTAGAACCCCAAAGAAAATTAGGCTCTTTTTTCAGTTATCTGATGTATATTGATTACTACCCACTGAAATTTAAAAAATAGTAGGGACAATTAATGCTAAGCAACAGATTAGTGATGTCTCACCAGTAATTATAAACAGTGATCAGTATTCCCACAGAACAATGGCTTGTTTAAAAAAGTCTTGGCCAAACCACAACAAAGAAACAAAAGGCAGACTTTGGATTTATAAAAAGTTGTTTTATTTTTATAAAATTTAGTACAAATCATATTGAAATATAAATCCTTCAACAAAGTTAGCTAGTATTACATAGTAATCCATATGCAAATGAATATTTTATTTTTCCAGCCAGAACACAGGTTAATTAGCCCTTCATTTACTTGTGATGTAAAATGTCAACATCTTACTGATGAGTCATCTTCATTCCACATTATTCTCTCAGAGAAGTTTCTTTGTAGTTATTAGCTACAATATCAAGAAAAGCTGAAATGAGGGATTCCCTTCCTGTTATCATTTATGCAGGTTTCTCATCTTAAAAAAAAAAACTACATACATTCATACATTACCTTGAGTGCCTTGAATAGCAAGAGCTGCAATCCCTTCACTTCTGAGGGGTACAGAGGAAAGAATTGGTACCAGATTAAGCCTGTTCATTTGTCTGGTATGGAACAGGTTGCAGTGTGCCAAAATTCAAGAGCCAGCTCTTTCTTTCCTTTTTATTTCATCTCGTTTCTTTTCTTTTTCCTTAAGCTCATGTGCCAAGCCACTCTTTTCTACTAGGCTTTTGCCGAAATCAGCATTCTTCAACATCCTAGTTTGCCCACAGTTTTGCTGGAAAGAAGCTCATCAGCATTTTAGGGACACTAATCATAGAAATAGAGGTGGAGACGCTGTATCTGCTGCACATTATTTTAATGCCCTGCAAAACTATTTAACTAAATGACAGGCATCTTAAAAAAAAAAAAAAGTTAACATGCTTTTCAAGTTGCTTTTCCTTTTGCAGAAATGACTTTATGTGGCTCCAATCACTCTCTCAAGCTTTGTCTCTGTAGCCAGTGACATCCATTCTCAAGGTCACTCATTAGTAACACCAGTGACCATAGAGTGGAATGGGACTTGCTACTGATCATTTGTCTTGATTTCTATTGCACCTTTTGCTTGCATATCAACTGAGCTAACCAGTCACCACTGTTCTGAAAAACATGGCAAAAATAAATAAAGAAACAATGAATAAATAAGCAATACTTCATTTTCTCATAAAAGCATTGCGTTAAAGTTATCCATTAACAGAATGCCACGTATCTCCATGAAATAGAAAATGGTATTTCATTCATTCACAACAGGTTTAGAACACAGTAAACAAGTGAACTGACCCAATGATCTGGCAAGTGAATAGCAAAATTAGCTTAAAAAATCCAGAATCTAGCTGGGCATGGTGATGGACTCCTGTAACCCCAGCACTCAGAGGGGCTGAGGCAGTAGGATCATTGTGAGTTGGAGACCAGCCAGGGCTACAAAGTGAACCCTAGGCCAGCCTGAACCGCACAGCAAGACCCTATCTCAAAAAGACCAAAAAAACTTAACCCCTAACCCTTTGTTCTAGGCTTCTAACATGAGATTAGAGACTGTCAAACTAAGAAAATTTTTTTTTGTCTTTCAAGACTGGCCTTGTCATACGAGTTTGCCTTTAAAGACATGCACTATTTTAGAGAAAGGAGAAAAGGTAGTAAGTGTACTAAAAGGGAATGTATCTGAAATTTACAAAAAAAAGAATTTTAAAAAGTTGCCTCATCACCCTGAGACCAGGGCCCACACTAAAATCTTTGGTTCTAGTTTGCAATATGTCCAGCCAAGTTGCAACCTGAACTCCCATTTCGAGCACAGTGGAATCCACATGGTAAATCCCTACGGAATTCAGTCATGGCCTCTCATGCCTAGGAGATTAATGCACAAAAGCCCTGAGAACTGGCATAGCTTTCCTGGTAGGGCAGAACCCGTACAACAGGACTCGGTAAATCTACCCACACTTCATTCATCTTGCATCCAAAGCCCTAGCTGTATGATTTTTGTAAGAAAAGAGTTAATGTAGCAGGCCTGAACTGCCATCCTTGGACAGGACTGCTTGCAAGGTTGGCCCATGGCTGGCATCTGAGAACTAAGATTTCCAAAGGGTGGGAAGGGCTCCTGGCATTAACTGATAGAACTGGCAACTGCACCTAAACTGTCTGGGCAAACAATATGGCTTATGGTGAACGCCTGCCTTCCTGCTGGGAGTCTCAAATTTTGCTATGTGCCACAGAGGCTGCCTGGATGACCTGTCCCCAACACAAAACTTGGGCACCAAGTCCTTAATGACTTTCCCTGGTAGGTAACCTTTCATGCATTGTCAGAAGTCACTGCCAGAAGCATTAAGCACATCCTGTGGGATCCAAATGGCAGAGGACTCCAGAAGTTTGTGCTTGGTTTCACTGGGACTTTGCTCCTAGTGCCTTTTCCCCTTTGCTGATTTTCCTTTGTGTCCTTTCACTACCATAGATCAAAGCTGTAAGAGTATTCGGTGTATTCTATAAATTTTGCAAGCGAACCGTGGGACTGGGTGTGTCTCAGGAACCTATGACACAGTCGATACAAACATTCTCCTTTTTAAAGCAGATTCAACTTCCTGAGCTCATGTTCGGCATGTCAAAGGCATGTTCTTCCTCCAAGTCCCTCACTTAACAGATCGTGTAGTAAAGTTGCACAGATTGCTACGTGGGAAGCAGGAACAAGTACACCCTGAAGGAGTCACTTTTCAAAGGGAAATGAAGCCACACTTATTTTTTTCAGGTTACTTTTAAAGCTGTCTGTGTATCACGCCTTCCTGGGACGAGAGGATCTAGGGTCACCAGACACAAACAGGAATGCCAAGAGTTCTCACCTCAGAGCGCTGACCACTCCCAGCTGTCACTGACCATTCTCACTTTAGACAACCGTGTCACTGTGGAAGCCAGTGTTTTAATACTGTATGCTCGGCTTGAAGACTGACCAAAGTGATCAATAATTTTAGCCCTTTTAGGAAACCTAAATGTGTGATAGCATGATTCTGTAACAGTCCTGGTTCCCATAGCTTACTTCACCTGTTCTGCCACGTGGAGCAAGCCTTGGCTAGTGTATCTTGAGATGTCCATTATGCTTCAGCTGCCGCTCGTCACTTCGCCTGCTTCTCCACGCGTGGTACTTTTTGATGCTTTTCTTCCACGCAAAGCGCCAGATACTAAACATAAAACACCAAGAAACGGCATACATCGCTACTCCCCCAACCTTCACAAACCACTTAGGCGTGGGTGAAACCATTTCACAGAAAAGGAGGTGAGCTCCTACACCAATCCTCACTCCAGTGAACAGAGCCACGAAGAGGAAGTCCACCACATCTCCAGTGAAACTGTGATAGTGCCCCGTTTCACGGAGAAACCAGCGTATCTGCAGCAAAGGGTTGGTGATCTCACTTCCAAAGAGGACCGCATTGACCTCCGTGCCCGACTCCCCAAGCACTAGGGCCATGATGATGCCCAAGATGCTCAGTGTGTGGTGAGCCAGCATCAGGGGACCCTCAGACCGGAAGTAGATGCACCAACCCAAGTCAAAGATGAAGTAGCCCAGGGTGAGACACAGAACATGAACTTGAAGAGGCGTGTTGGGTGATCCTGAAACAAACCAAGACAGAACCAAATTGAGTGACTAGGAACTGTGCCACCTTGCGCAGGGAGCCTGCGCTGTTGTTTTTTCAGCCTTGCTGAGTCTCTGAAGGAGATAAAAACAGTGGCAGGCACTGGCTCTGTAACAGTAACCAAAGAACACTAAAAGGGTCTTTGTCACACTAAATGATGTCCTAGCCCCTCCCCCCAAAAAAGTTATTCTGATAAATCAGACTTCAATGAGTGATTTTAGTACCGGCAATAGTATCAGTGTACTCTCTATGGAACTACATAAAAGTTATTTTTTTCTTTCAATTAAAATCTTAAGCCTCTTTTTAAAAAACCAGCTTATGGTCTGTTTCCAGACTCTTGAGTCATTCTGTCATCTGTCCAAAATGTCAGTTTAATTTTGTAGGTTGATGGACTAGTTATTGGACATTGGCAGCTCTAACCCATTCTGAAAATAAACACAAAACACCACCCCAAAAGGTAGGGTGTTCCTATGCCCAAGAACACAAGATACAAGGACTTGATGTATTTGAAACTATTAATAATCGTCCTATAAAACACAAAGCTTAAGAACTGTTGTCCCTCAGTTTGATAGTTTTGGGGGAAACTCAGAAACTCACCATGAGAATCTTAAAAAAAAAATGCTTAAAGAATCTAAGAAACTGTATAAAAATTCACATTCAAGGGGAGCCATGGGCTGAATTGTGTCTTTCCAAAATTCAGGTTGAAGCCTTGGGTAGCATTACCCTAGTGTGATAGTTTTGGACACGGGACCTAAAGAAGGCAGTAAGTTAAAATAGGATCATTAGGCGGGCTCTATTCCAATGTGACTAGCGTCCTAGTAAGAAAAAACGGATAAGGACACACATAGAAAGACAAGCATGTGACCACACAGTGGGAAAGGTACCATGTGGAAGACATGAAGAGAAGCCTCAGAAAAAAACCAACTCCAACACCTTGAGTTTGGGCTTCCAGCTCAAGAACTATGAGAAATGTCTGTTTTTAAGCCACTCAGTCTATGGCATTTTGTTATAGCAACCCCATCCAACAATGCAATGGTAAACAATTTTTATATACCAAGGAAATAACATCTGTATATCTGTAAAAATTAACACAGATGCCCCAAATAGTGACAGTAAATCATTTTGTAACAATTAGAAAGAATGAGAGAGAGAAAAAGAGAGAGAGTAATCTATATCCATAGACATGATAAGATGAGGTCACTTTAATATGTGATTGAATAAAAATGGCAATCTACCAAAATAGTTAAAATATACAACACAGTTTTATTTGTATCTATCTGGGGTGGTGGAAGATGTTGACATTGGCTCTATGCTTTTTTTTGGTACCAGGGATTGCACTTGCCAAGCAGGCACTTGTGCTGCTGAGCTAAACCCCAGCCCTGGCTTTATGTTTTGTATGTTACAGATTAAACTGTAAAAGTGGGGCCAGAGATTTAGCTCAGTGGCTCCAGCGCTTGCCTAGTAAGTGTGAAGTCACTGAGTGCAATACAGAAAGGATAAGTATATATCCAATACAGAAAGGATAAGTATATATCATGCATGTGTAGAACTTCTCCTAAACAGTTTATGAGAATTGATTATATACTGTACAATGAAATGAACAGCTACTTTGAAGGAAAGCAGACACTAAGGTACCCAGTGCTGATTCCATAGCATCATGATGTGAAATCCAGCATACTGCTATTCTTTGTTCACAGTGATCTTAGTCTGTTATGTTTTGTTTAATTTCAACGTATGTGAAGGTATGGACAGCTATTTTGAAGAGAATGAGAGACACTATGACAGTCATTGTTGACTTCTCTATTGTCTGGTCTTGACCTAAAATGCCTTCATCATCCTGTTCTGATCAATTTAATAATATTTTGTTGGGTATGAATTCATTGTGTGTGAAGAAATGGACAACTATTTGGAAGAAAACAAGAGACAATGTGATAGACAGTGAAGATCTCTAGCTTTGAAATCTGTGTCTCTTACATTGTTTCTTATGATATGTTTTGTTATGTTTAATTTTACCTTCTTTAAAGTAAAATTTTTAAAAAGTAGAAGCAATAGACAACATATACACTATCAGAGTCAACAATAAAAAATGAATACTACAATACAAATTGTTATGGGAATTATTCTTCAATATTATATAAAATCTTTTCTTTTTAAAGTCCCATTCCATGAAGTCTACCATAAATCCTAAGTCCTAAGAGAAAGTCTCTAAGGTCCCCTACCTACCTGCGTGCGTGAAAGGCCATGGGCCATCAATGAAGCCAATATAAGCCGAGAGGCCTATGGAGAGCACTCCATGGGTCAGTGTCACCAGCCGGCAGCTCCACTCATAGCTTCGGTGCTTATTCAGGTGGCAGAAAGAAGTGTAGAGTGAGAGCCAGCCACACAGACTGCACAGCACCTGCAGACACAGAGCTAATGCCATCCTATGACGAAAAGACCAAAACCAGAAAAACAGAGGATGCACCCTAAGAAAAGGGCATTGGGTCATTTCGCGTAGATGTCTGTATTACTACTATAGCACTGTACTAAAACATTGCCTTTACTGGAACATTTCTTCCTCTACATAGTTCTGTGTATATGTCTGCATTGCTACTACAGAACATTACCAAAACCCTGCCTTTACTGAAACACCTAAAAATCTTCCATTTAAATATGGCTGTGTTCATTACCCCAGGCTCCTCAGAGATAATGTGCTGACATCTGGCAGAAGCTGCACAACTGAAAACGAGGAAATGCATTCTGATTTGGTTGCTAACATCACATGTTACGCTGAGCAAATGTCAGTGACAATCCTCCGGCCATGACTGGCTTTGGGCAGTAATATAGAGATAATAAGGCACATGTGTCTGATAATATCTTAACATTTCAAAACCCTCAGTGGGAAGCTCTCATGAAAAAACAGAACATGGCCCCTTTTGGGATCTGCTAGAAGTCATGTAACACGAGGTGGTTTCTTCTGTTTTTAAGCTGAAAGTAAATTTGGCTAAGATTTGGATTTGGGTCAAAGGTTTATCAGCTGAAATCAAAACCTGGGGTAAACCTAAATATAGAACTAAACAGAGTCCAAATAACTTGGAAGATGGAAAAATCCTATTTCTGTTCTGAAATCCAACTCAAATATTTACCAGCAGGAAAGCAGAAGGATTTTAAGGTAGGAGAAGCTCATTGAGATATAAATAATTTTAAGGCAATTATTCAGTTAAAAAATAAAACAAAATCAGAAAGCTACATTTGGACTTTTTACTGGCGCAAAAATATTTGGACAAAAACAACTATAACTTCATCAATTTAGCCTCTCAGAACCAAAACCCAAAAACGACCAAGATGTCACTTTTGATATTCATTAGCTCCCCTGTTGAAAATACAAGTGAAAAAGTCCAAACTATTACAGATATCTGTCTCATCTCAGCAGTAATTTTCTGCATGACCACAGTTATTGCTTAACTCTTTTCTGACAAATGAAATGCTATCTGTGGACCAGCTTATTTCAGTACACAAGCCACTCCTAAGAATGTTAACCAGAGAGGGCTTTATGAAGGTCAAGTTCCATACACCTTCCTCTGAAATCAAGAAAACAGTAGGTGTCTGGACATCCCTGACCCCAGTCCCATTCTCTCTGCCCATAGGTTGCAGCTTAAGTGTGGAAAAATCGCTTTCACCTGTGGAGTGTGTTTTCTAAAAACAACCCAAGAAAGAAGGAACAGAAAAGAGGAGGGGGGAAAAAAAAGACTGGAGAACTCTGTAGTCCACTCCAGTTCAGACACAGAGTTCTAAGATAAATGTTGTTAAAACTTCTAGGCCAGTTTTCAGTGCGAGGGCCAGAATCACAAAGCAACCACAGTGAAAAGAAATGACCCTCTTATTTCCTTTTGAAGGCCAGGATCACTAGCCAGTAGTGCGGATCAGCCCTTTTGGACATACCGATTAGTTATTTTTAGAGTCCTCTTCTCTGCATCCTAATTCCCTGGCTCAACAGAGAAAACAGTAGCTCATTTACAAACACTTGAATAAAAGCACAAGACATTCGCAGGAGGCAGATGCAACTCCGTGACCTTGGGAGCTGCGTGTCTGGGTGGAGAGGACCGAAGGGCGTTCGCAAGCCCCAGCTCCCCTCCCCGCGGGCGCTCCGGGCCTCCCTCCCCGGCAGGCGTGGCCGGCGGCGAGCTGCAGCCTCGGGCACCGGGAGGAGCGCGGCCGCGTTCTCCTGCGCGGGCTGCCTGCGGCCCGGCCGGGAGCTCGGAGCCCGCATCCCGGGACCGTTATGCCAAGGCCCGGCGCCCCAGGGCACAAGAGCCGTCTCCGCCGGGGTCAGGCGGGGCGCCTGCCCTCCAGCCCCCGCGCCCGAGCGCAGCCGCAGCTCACCCAGCCCCGCGCCCTTACCTGGGAGGCGCCCCGGGAAGCGTCGGGCGCCTCGGCGCCCACAGCCAGGGCCCGGATCACCGCCACAGGAAGGAGGGGGAGAGGACGGGGCTGTGACGGCACAGGAGGAGGAGCCGGGGGTCTGGGGGCATCTGCCGGCTGGGAGGACAGAGCGTAGAGCGCCGCTGGAAGCACCCGGGTCCTGCAGAAAGCAGCTGGGGGGAGGCTGCTCCTGCTTTGGACGGGAGAGGGGCGATCTGAGACCCACGGTCTGTTGCCCTTGTTTGTTGCTGCCTTTTAATCATCTTCTATTCCTCCTGTCCCCACTTTGGAACAGCTCATCCTCCCAGCACACAGTGAGCACCTACGAAGTATTGCTTCCCCGCTTGACCTTGGGTTGTGAAATAAGCCCACAAATAACTGATCAGCAGGCCTGTAAATTAGAAGTTATTTAATTTTAGCGCTGTTAGCAGTTGGACAGTACAGCATAAGACTTAAGAGTTGCTGGGTCTGAAGGCACCTGCCTGTCATCCCAGCACTTGGGAAGCTGAAGCAGGAGGATCACAAGAAGTTCGAGGCCAGCCTAAACTGCGCACTGAGACCCTGTTTCAAACAAGAAGTAAATCCTGCTTGGTGTAACCTTAGGCAAGTTATTTAACTATTCTGGGATTTCCTTTTTGCATCCACAGAATGAGGAGAGTAATACTATCTCATAATATTATTGCAAGAATTTTAGAAGATTACATATATAAAGTGCTTAAAACTGTGGCTGGGATATAAAATTCACTTGATTATATAAAATGTCCATGCTTGTTTTTATTTCGTATTAGGTGAATCTTCTTTCGCCTCTAAGCCTTTTTTTTTTTTTTTTTTTTTTTTTTTTTTGTCTTTTTGAGACAGAGTCTCCTTCAGGCTGGCTTTGAGCTTTGTAGCCCAGGCCAATCTTGAATTTGCAATGATCCTCCTGCCTCACTCGGCCTCTGGAGTGCTGGGATTACAGGCATGTGCCAACATGCCCAGCTCTAGGACTACTTTAACACTAAAGAGAGTAAGTTTGAAATGAGGGGAGAAATACAGAGAATCAGACAGGATAAGGAGCATTTGTGTTTGGGCTGATATTCTTCAGAAGACCTTAGTAGAGGTATGTTTGTATCACACCAAGGAAATAATTAGTATTTGGCCACTTATCTTGTCAGGCTTTCAAAAGTAAGGATGGCATTGTTTTCATCTGTGTCTCTAGAGTCCAGTACCAGACAAGTGAGATGACTAACTGTTGGTGGAATTAATGGAATGCTATATAGGAAGGATATTGCCATTTCTAAAGTTCAATGACTATCGTGCTACTTGGAAAGTATTTTCAAAATGCCCTTGTGCAGATGACACCTCTAATATTGTAGCTGTAATGTAGGGTCTTGGGATCTGTATCTTTAAAACCAGTGCAGAAGCTATTCTGATGATCTGTCCTATTTGAGAATCACTAGTGTGAAGAACCCTTACCTGCCCCTGAGGCCAGCCTAAGACACTGAACTAAAGCATCTACTTATGTGGGTGGGGTAAGCCTGTGATGCTACACAGGAAGGGAATTATGCTACCATGCTCCTTGAGTTTTGTCTATTCATAGTATTGTCTATGGACCCAAAAAACCTGCACTATGGGGGAAATTAGTTGAAAACACAGAATCTCAGAGCCTATCTTCGGTCCTCCTAAACCAGAATCTGCATTTTGAACTCAGCCCCAGTGATCCATGTTCATTTGGGAAGTGGTGTTCTATCCTGAGCACACAGAAGAATCATTTCAGGGGCTTTTAATTAAAGTCCCACTGCCAAGGTCACACCCCAAAGTAAATCAGAATCTCGATGTGGTTGTCGATCATATTTAAAGCTCCTTGGGTGATTTCAGTGTGCAACCAAAGTTGAGAACCCCCTTTCCAGGGATATTCACCTAAAACCAGTACAACATGAAGTGGAGAAGACCTGTTTCAAATGTGGGAACAGACCAGGTCAGAGGCAATGATTATCTGAAGAAACGTAACATGGAAAGACCCATTTTATGAAACAGAGTATGCAAACCTTAACCTTTTTGCTGTTTTATTTTTGTTGCAATTCTTTTTCTTCTAGTGCCTGAATCTGAGACCTTCTTATTGCCATCATTTGCCAGTAAAGAACAGAATATTAAAGGATTCAAGAGTCTAAGGTAGAAGTCATTAGTGAAGTTGCCTATTGTGCCCAGCTATGGGCCTATGTACTGGGATGGTCGGGATCCCAGGTTCAAGCATCCTTACATGGGACTATACTTTATTAATTTATAGATCTTTAGCCATGAGCAGGAAATAGCCACCAATTGAATAACAATAGTAACACTTGCGTGGTATTGCCTTCTCAACTCACCAGGTACTGTCTTAATCCTCACAATAACTCTATAGAATAAGATCTGGTTTTTTGTTCATTTATGTCTCCAAGTGACATGTTTAGCAGGAGGCAGAGTTGGGCAGCAAGTGACTCAAGGGAGTCATGCACCTCTGATATGCTGCCCCCAATCAACCAGAATTTCTTACCATTGTGTGATACATTCTGTGTTCATGATTCCTATCCCAATGAAGGGCATGTGAAGTTGTTTAGAAAAAAAAAGAAATTCCCTTTAAAAAGCTTACTTGCTTTACTTGTGCTAGTCACATTGTTAGGCATGGGGACACACAGAACAAAAGATGGCTTCAACTACAAAAAACTCCCCTTACCCAACCACAGTCTCAGGGAGCAGGAGGGTCCTGGGACAGGCCAGGAGCATGCACAGTGGACCTGGAGGGCCTCGATGTGTTTGAAGCCCTTGGGATTCGGGGGAGTTTTCCTGATTTGAGCCCTAGGATTAATAACTCCAGTTTCTGAGTTGGACCAAAAGTCCTTACTTTGCTTTAGAAGCCCTTGAGTGAAATAAAGACCAGACGTGGTATGGAATAAAATTTGAAAAGCAGCAGCAACAATTTTTACCTTTTATCTTTCCCCCTCAACAATGATGGATGGGGCTTTGCCCTTAGACCCTTGTCTCTGATTAGGTGCTGAATGAGCTAAGTAAGCGTTCACTAAACTTCCCTGGAATTAAGAATTTTATGGGCAGTGATTCTCAGCTTTGAGCACATGGGAGACTCATTTGAAGAAACTCCTCTTCAAATGCCCAATGCCAGGGCCACACCCCAATGTAGATCAAAATCATGCAGATGAGAAAGGTACATCTGTACTCATTCTGTTTTGACTCTGCCCAGCAAATGTTCCACTCAACAGCCATTGGAACCTGTTGGAGGCTAAACAGGCTGCAATTCTGTTTATTTTTCATTTAGAAATACGGACAAATAGATTCAAACAGAAGGTTTGGACAGTGCAAGAGATCAACTTTCAGTACGCAACTGTGCAGGATGCCCAGGTAGGCAGGACTGTGGCAGGAAAAGGTTGGCTCTAGCTTCCATCAGTGTACAAAGAGGAGGGCTTACACGCATGAGTGTGTTCAGAAAAGGGCCCGGATGGTGGCAAAGTAGTCCCCTTCAGACTAAAATCATAACCTATGGCTCCCTCTGAAATCTTTGTTACACAGGTACTCCCTCTCTGATAGGGTCTATGTTGCCCAGACTGATCTTGAACTCCTGGGCTCAAGCAAGCCTCCTCCTCAGCCTCCTGAACAGCTATAATTTTAGGCCCCCGACATCATGTTTGACTCATCTTTTTTTTTTTTTTTTTTTGTACCAGGGATCGAACTCACCACCTCACACTTACCAGAAAAGCGCTTGAGCCTCTGAGCTCCCCAGCCCTGCCTGACTCATGTTTTTAATTACATTTTTTAATTGAGAAATTAACTACTGCCAGTAGACCTTATCCCACATCACGGCATGAAATAGAAGTCTTAATATAAACCCCCTTCACACATCAGGAGCAGTTGACTCTTAAAGATTTATACATAGGCTTCCTGCATGAATAGTGTTATTGTTAGAAACAAATGCTTGACCCCAATTTTGCTTTTCCCTATTAGCTTTTTTTTTGGAGTGGGGGAGGTATTGGAGATTGAACACAGAATCTTCATACTAAGGTAAAGCCCCAGCCCCTTTTTAATTTTTTATTTAGAGACAAGATCTTACTAAATTGCCCAGGTAGAGTTCAAACTTGCCATTCTCCTATGTCAGCCTCCAAAAGGGCTGGGATCACACATATGCACCACCATGGCAGGCTACATTGGTAATTACATGGTAATTACATTTTTGAAGATCCTGTTTTTCCCCCACAAAGGTCAGTGCTTTCCTCAGGAATATGTGAAACAATTTTACTTTTCTTTTTCTTTTTGTCTTTTTGAGACAGGGTCTCTCTGTGTAGTTCAGACTGGTCTCGAACTCGCAACGATCCTCCTGCCTCAGCCTCCCGAGTGCTGGGCTTACAGGCATGAGCCACCACATCAATTTTTACTTTTCTTTTCTTTTTTCTTTCTTTCTTTTTCTTCTTCTTCTTCTTCTTTTTTTTCTTTTTAGCTCTGACATGCTAGGCAAGTACTCTATCACTGAGTTTCATTCTCAACCCTTGTGTAACTATTAAAATTTTTAATCTAAAAAAACCACAAGAATAGTTTCAGACTCCTTGCCAAAGCCAGTCATGAAATTATCCTTTGTCTTAAATATCTATTACTTTTTCAGTGACTAGGGGATAACCAATGTTCAAGATGTGTGATGTATGCTATATTAGACTCAGCTTCTACCTGTTAAGTCATCAAAAGAGACCATGATTATTTATTCATCTCCCATTGACAAAAGGAAAAAACCAATCTCTTGCCTATTCTCTTCCCATTAGTTCTGTCCCAAAGAATAAGAATTCTAAACTCTTAATGGCCCTGTATTAACATACGTCATTTTTAGCATACATGAGGGTAATACACTTTGGGTATCAAGTTGAATCCTTTTCCCCACCCCATTTTTCATTATGTATACTCATGTCCCTCCCTCCCCTACAACAAAGGTACAAAAGGATAATTGAAGCTTCTTATCAACAATGGAATAGTTTGTATATCACTATACAAATTTATTGAGAAACAGATTTCTTTGAGTCTCAATGGTTCGAGTATATGAAATCTTAAAAAAAACTTTACCATTTCTGGGATGGCTTCATGTTATAGCTCTTTACACTGGCCCACAAAGAAAGAGACTAGAGATACTGTTCCCAAAAAGGTCAGCAGAGTCCCAGCCCACATGGGAAACTCTGTAAATATTTTATACTTTGGTATATTTTTCCCTTTCTTTTTTTTTTTTTTAGAGAAGATAAAATATTGCAAAGATGTCTTTGAAATTCACACCTGAGTTAAACATTTTTCTGGAAAATTCCACATGAAGGAGAAAAGTACATAATGTAAAATAAGGAAAGGGCTATGTACAAGTATGTCACCAGCATCACTGCTGTATATTTGCTCATGAGTTCTTCCTTTTCTGCAGCCAGGAGAAACAGAGGATGGAAGAAGGAAAAACAGAGGGAGAGACAGAAAGGACAAGTGCTCTTCAACTCTGGAATGGACATGAGCTAACAGAAAAGCACGGAAAAGGGCCGACCAAAGTGCCCCGAGTACAGAGCTGACTCGGCCACCTGTAAAGATGAGAACCTTGCAGGGGGTAAGAATGGGTGGATTTGGTTTTACAAAAGAGTGAAGATTTTTAAAAAAAGATGGGAGCAAGAAGAGATTCAATGGGAAAATTTTGCTCAATGGAAAAATCATCATGGAGTTGGAGGAGACATCTGATTCAAATCTTTCCATAGATTTTGGGATCAGTTTAGACTGTAGCTAAGTTCAAAGTCAAAGCCATTATTTCCCATTGTAGTGGTTTGGCACACCAGGGAAACGGCATCCCAAAAATCCCATAGATGAGTTATGAAATAATGGGAAAAAAGTCCTTTCTCTGAAGGAAAAATTAGCGGAGTAAAGCCGTTTAGAATATTTAGAGCTAGATGGCAACAGTATGGAGACTGTGAGCTCCCAGGAGGGTGTATTGTAGATTTCAAGAGCTTATGGAGTCAGCACATGGTTCAGTCACAGCTTGGCTCTGCAGAGGCCCTTGTTCCTGAAGAAGGCAAGATTGTGGGTTCACTCATAGTGGGGCTTTTCTTCCACTCTTCTGAAAGTAATGTCTGTATATGGAAGGCACAAGTCCCTTTTTACTTCCTTTTGGTGCGAGATACACAGCCAGGTGGAGTGGGAGGAACATTTTGGTCTCAGTGGAGGTAGGTGGGATGATTCCATCGGTACCAAGATCTGCAAGGAAGAAACAGGTCAATTACAGTTACTAACATCATGGAGAAAGAGGGGAATATGGATTGATGGCTAACAGGTACAATGAAAATATTCTATAATTAAGTAACAGTGATGGTTGTGCAATCTTGTAAATATACTAAAAACTACTGAATGGTATATTTTATGATATATGAATTATACCTCAAAAGCTACTAATGTAATTTGGTTCTCTCTGCCTTTCTCTCTCTGCTGGGGATAGGCAAGGAATTTCAACCTTTGGGTTCTTTCTCATTTGGGCAGTAAAAGCTGGCTGCCTTGCTAAACTGCCTGGATTTGGACAAGTGGGTCTGTCTCTTCCTATAAGCTCAGATCTGTGACCTATTGTCCCACTTTCAGATCTCTGTGTCTTTCTGAACCAGGACAGATTCTTGAAGCATCTGCTTTGAGGATACTTGTTAGGGTAGATTCTGTGGCTCATGAGCTCTGGCCCAGGGAGCTCCTTCTTGCAGCATCCCAGGTAGAAGCAGGAAACAGAAATTGATACCCTTTTCTCCCTCCACAGGTCAGCCACTCCTGAAGCCCATGAGTGTCTTCGTGCCTAAGCTCTAGACTCACATCAGAACATTCTGAAAATCAGATTCCTGGCATGGAGTTGAACATGCCTTAGTCCAGCAAAGGATCTGGCTTTTTCTGACAATAGTATTTGGAAATTTCCACCATCAAAGTGAGAATGGAAATTTTGGCTTTGTTGACATCAGCCTCTTGCCAGGCTTCTGGTTTACTGGCTGTAGCTTCTGCCTCCCAGGGATACAGTCCAGGCTGGCTCTGCACTCTGTCCTCTCCCTGCCCTCCTCTTCCCCTTTTCCAGCCCCAAACAAGGTCTCTGTCCCAAGTCACTGGCCCAACTCTTCACATGTCCCTGGGTCCTACCGGCTGCGTCTACCCTCTCCCTCTCCATCTTACCCTGAGGAGTTAAAACTGGAGGAGGAGTTCATTGCTGCTTTGGAGTTATTTTGAGATGCAGTGGGGCTGCTGGTGTGGAGTCCTGAGCCAGGAGACGAAGGCCTGCTGTTGTTCCCAGGGGAACAGGATGACGTTACTAAGGACAAGGAGAGGCAAAAACAAAAAGAAAATAATGCTGCTGGGTCCTGGGACCTTGTGACATGGTCTTTGCAACACTTGACTTCCTGTATATCCCCAAAGGGACCTCACCTTCTCCCCACCCATCTGCCCATCATATACCACATTAAGGTCTACACTCCAGTCTGTCCCTAGAGGGGCTGTTATCGTAAATGTGCTCTGCAGCCCAGGCCCTTGAGAGCAGTGTGGCTGGTTCTGCAAGTTCAAGACTTGCCAAATGCAAGAACAGATGCCAAAACCATGCTACTCCAGGACACACCCTGGGCTGGGCATATGCAGCTCTAGACCAGCAGGCAGGAAAGGCAAAAGAATAAGAAGCTTAGGAGGAGAGAATAGGAAAGAGAAATGCGCGCAGCAGAGGAGGAGAATCTAGAAGTTTAAGATTGCTGTTGTCTTCCATCTCCACAGAGGAAATCGACTACACACAATCTTGAAAAAGCATACAACAGGTGTAAGGAGACCCGAGTCTCATCTTGGTCACGCACCTCTCGCTAAGCAGCGGTGTGGCTTGTGTTCATTGCTGCGCCTTCCTGAAACTCACTCCGTCCTTTATAAAATGACATATTCGGGCTAACTGGAATTCTCATGTTTGTATTTCCCAAACTCTGCCTCATGGTTAGACTGGCATATATTTTACCATCCAAACTAAGACACTTTCAACAATGCATATGGGTAACTATGTCAGGACATGAGGCACACCTGGACATAATGGGCACCCTGTCTCATTCTCTGAAATGCTATCAGTACTTTTGGAAAAAGAGGGTACTCTAGAAAGTTAGTTGGACAAACTATGGTTTCCCTCCACCTTCTGTGCAGCTCATTTGAGGATGTGTTATCCATGTGAATGCTGAGAAGTGCTGCAATTAAAACAAACAACAAGCAAACACACATTTATTTAAATTTTGCTTGCCGGCATTTCCCAGCTTATTTGAACATAGGAGCCTGTTTTAATGTCCTTTGCAATACACTGAGGGAATGCTGATTTAAGTAGGTCCCCTTCAGTGCTAATACTCTGCTATTTAAAGGACTTCAAGAGACCTTGTTTAAAAACTCACCTGTTCCGGGCATGGTGCTATGGATGGGAGGGATGGAGAGGGGGCCCAGAGATCCTGGGGGAGAGACCTGAAAGGCAAGAGACCTTGTGAATTTCCACTCCCACTGCCTCCTCCGAATGTGGATGCTGGACCCCAAACAATAGAGAACAGGCTTTCCTGGATGATTTCCTGCTTCTAAAACCTGTACAGCCCTCCATCATCCTTTTCATGGAGAGGCCCTGGACTACATATGGCCATCTACCTCCAGTTCTGGTCTGCTCTAGATTTGTGGTGATGACACCACACCCTCCTTCCCTGTTGTGCACCCTGCAAGATTTCTTTGGCACGGTCAGGCCACAGACTGCCTTACCCAGTGTCCTGGTCATGAGAGAAGCTGGCCTCTGGGGCCCTACTGTGATGGGTGTTGCCAGTTGTCCCCCTCATTTCCATTTCCCACTTCTCCTTTGTGAAAGAGCTCTGCTGGTGCTCAGGGCAGTGCAGTGCCAACCCTAGCAACGGGGCTCCAGACCTGCCCATGCTGCTGGATGAATTGGATCGCAGATCTCCAGAGACAGCTGAGAGGTCTGAATGTTGTCTCTGGAGCTTTTCTTTTTGTCCTGGAAACTTCACAACATCAACTCTGAGATTAGAAAGTGACTTAATACCAACTCCACACGATGAGTGTATTCATTACGCATCACTAACATGTACTAATAAAAGAAAAACTAAAAATAATTATTTCAAAAAATTGAGTTTAACCTCCCATGGAACTCAGGCAACTCCTCCTCACTGTTGCTATCCTAGAATAACATCCCAGAACAAGATGTCGTAAAATAAAAGGACAGGCTGGGCATGGTGGCAACACCCCTGTAATCACAGCACTCTGGGAAAATGAGGGGGCAGGATCCCTAATTGGAGCCCAACCTGGGTAACACAGTGAATTAGTGAAACCCACTCTCAAAATAAAAAGGAAAAAGTGCCAGGAATGTAGCACAGTGCAAAGACCCTGGTTCAATCCCCAGTAGCACAAGATAAAAATAAATTTAAAAAGACAGACAGGTTGGAGAGCTGGCCCCATCAATCACCATCTGCATAACTTCAGGCAAGTTACCCAACCCCAGTGAAATGTCATTGTCTCATCTATGAAACAGCAGCAACACCTCCTTGATATTTTCTTTTCATTAAGATTTAATGAGCTAATGTCCATAAAGCTTCCAAGCCAATGACGGGCGAAGAACATCAGTCTATTAAGTGTTAAAGCTCTTCTTTCCTGAAGGAAAAAGCCAGCACAGCTACACCTCTCAGACGCTTTTCAACCCTGCTCTGGAGCTGGAACCTGCATGCTTCACGCCCCTCCCCTCTCCTGCTGTGCTGACAGGGAAGCCCTGAGCAGTGTTTTCAAAGGATGTTGACAGGCTCCTATAACCTGATGATTCCTCCCCTCCCGATCAGGACCTTCCCATCCTAACAGGATACAGCATGTTCTCGTTTCCTAGTTAATCAGCAAATGTTCTCAAATGCTTTCATTTACCTTTCCTTCTACAATGAATCTCCTCAGTAGGCTGGGGCCCCATGAGGGTGGAGACCAGTGTGGGGCAGTTTGGGAGGGGTGGCAGAGTGGTTAGAGATGTTATCGACTTTTTCCTGCCCTTATTCCTCCCCTCCCTGGTGCCACACCCAAGAAATTTGTTGTTTTCAAATAAATAAAAAATATGTGTAGGCACTGTGACCAGCTCCTTCCAATGCTTTTTTTTTTTTTTTTTTTTTTTTGGTCTTCTTCGTTTTTATCAGTACCAGGGATCGAACTCATGACTGCCTGCTTGCAAGGCAGGCGCTTATGCCGCTGAGCTAAATCCCCAGCCCCCTTCCACTGCTTTTTAAAGAGAGGCCATACATAAGCAAATATGCATATTTATGGTTTCCTGGATTTGCTTTTTTATACATATACACTAGTAAAATGGTTCCCATACTGGTCTATTCCATTTGCTTTTTTCCCTCTTTCTCTAAATTAGCTGGATAAGCCAGGGATGGTAACACATGTCTGTAATCCTAGCACTTGGGAGGCCTAGGCAGGCTGATCCTATGGCTAACCTGGGCTCTATCCTGAGACACTGTCTCAAAGAACCAAGAATAATAATTATAATAAGGGCCGGGGATCTAGCTCAGCAACATAAGCACCTGGCTGGCAAGTGCAAGGTCATGAGTTCAATCCCCCATACCAAAAAAAAAAAAAAAAAAGGATTATAATATACTGTATATCTATGAGATCATTTCATATTAGATGCAAAATAAAACCATTCTTGTCCCATTGAGATCTGAGAAAGAGATGGTAAAAATTTTTTTTCTATTTTTTCCCTTCATGACATTTCAAGCATTCAACTATGTACTTAATATCTTTGTCCCCCATGCTGCTCTGGACTTCACAAGGGCAGGATAATGCCTGTGCACTGCCGTATGCCCAGTACCTTGAACACTGACCAGAAATTTGCAGATGCTTGAGAAGCAGATGTTGAGAGATGAGATTCTGTCACCATTTCTGTAAATGTGGGTTTCCTTGATGAAAAGTGAGCCAGTGCTACAACCTACCTCTTATCAAGGGGAAAACCAGAAAAAGCAAGAAACGGCTACAGAGTGGACGGGGAGCGTGTTGGGCAGGGGTGAGCCTCATCAGAGTGTGATGAGAACACAGATGAAAGACATTCAAATCAGAATGGGGACAAGAAGGCTGGTCTCATCCAGCTACACCCCCAGCCCTTTGCAGTTTTTTTAATGTTGTCTAGGCTGGTGCTCCATTTGCCATCTCCTACCTCAACCTCCCCAGTGGCTGGGATTACAAGCATACACCGCCACACACACAGCCCACAGGTCCATCTGTAAAGTCCCTGAAGTTCTTATGGCACGGACCAAATTCCTTCATGTGGCCCACAGTGCCCTCCAATGCAGCGCCATCTGCTTCAGTCTCTGTCCTCACACCCCTTACTCGCCGGCCTCCACCATCTCTGCCTGAAAGTTTCCTTTTCCCTCTCTCCCACCAACCTTGGAACCTGTGCACCCAGTTTCCTCTGCCTAGAACTTGCTCCCACCTGCACCCCCAACGCAGTTACTTCCCCCATTCATGTCAATGGTGACATTCACTTTTCTGGAGTCAGGTTAAATAAACATCATCCCTTTGACATGGCGGATTGGGTTATGGGCCTCAGATACCTCCGCGCCTTCTCTGCAGCTCCTCACAAGCAGCACTGATTCAGCGCCTCTTTTCCTTGCTAGGTTGTGAGCAAGGATCATGTGTGCGCAAGCCACTGTATCCCCAGTGTCATTTAAGGAAGCAATGGTGAATGGCTATCGTGTTGCCTCCAACTTAAAATGTTAAATGGTTCTTCATAGCTTTTAGGGCAACTTAGCAACCACAGTCCACCATGATCCATGATCTCATCAACCTCTTGAGCCTTGGCTCTGGTCTGACTGAAGTCCATGTGTTTTCCAAAGGCCTCAAATTGTTTTATAATTGCATGCCTTCTCCAGGGCTGGTCCTACTGCCTGGTGTGCTATTCTTTGGGCAAATCAAGTGGTTACCCTTCTCAGTTTCTCCCCTTGATCCTCTTTCTGTTGCCATCCTCAAAGGCTGGAAGCTCCCAGGACTTAGGTGTGGACTTTCCCAGCAAACTCCACAGCTCAGCTCCTCTTTACACACGATTTCGACAGTCACCTATATGTCTGTGTCTCCGTAGTGTGTGTGTCCACCCCAGCTTCTCTCTGACCCCAGACCCACCCTCCTAGTCCTGGGTCAGTCCCATTCAGTGTCCTCTGTTTCTAAATGTGCATTACCATGGTGTACAGACCTGAAATCATCACTCTTTACCGCTTCCAAATGAGCTCCTCCATTTGCCTGTTCCAAATTTGGCACTAGCATCTACCCCATGAGCCACATCCAAGCATCAGTCTCTTATAGGATCCTTTCCTTCATCCCTCTCCCCTCCCCCATCAACATTCAATTGATTAACCAATACCTTCTAATCACCTGTTGATTTTCTCCCACCCCCTCTTTCTCACCATGTGAGTTTTCTTTGCCCCCCTTTGTTCTCTACAGGATAACTACAGTTATATCCTGTCTTGTACCTCTCAAGCCATCCTGCATCCTATACTTAGAGTGATCAGTCTTAAAAACAAATGTGATCTTGCTGATTCCCTGCTGAAAATCCTCCAGTGACTCCCCCAAACCTCAGTTCCTTGGCACTGCAAGCCTCCCTTGTGTCCAGCCTCGTCTTGCAACATTCCTCCATAGCGACACATACCACCCATCCCCGCCCCCATCTGGCCACTGTCTCCTGGGTCTCCCTAGTGAAAGCTCTACCTCATAGTCATTTGCCACCCACTCCTTGTCCTTTTAGATTCAACTCAGGCGTTAATGACTTCCTTGGGGACATCTTCCTAACTACCACCTCCCAAGGTTTATTAGCTGCTGCTAAGTTCTCCTACAGAAGTGATCACATTATCATTTGTTTATTTGTCTGTCTCCTTTGCTAGGCAGTGCGTCCTCTGAGACGGAGAACAAATGGTATTTATCTTTGTATCCCAGCACTCGGCACAAAGACCAATGTACAGTAAGTAGATGGCCAGTGGATGTTTGGTGAAAAATCAACAGTGGTGCCATCTTTACAAAATTGCTGTGTCCTACCCGGACACAGCGCTTAATTCCAACCATCCCAGAGCCCTGGAAAACTTGAGGACATTACCACCGCAACTCCCTAAACGCCAGCCATCACTGTTCACATAGATGGAGAACATTTTTTTCTGCTCCTTCCCTTGAACACACTCATCACAGATTTAGCTCTCTACCCCTCCCCGAACTGAACCAGGACCATGCACATGCTAGACAAGTACTTCACCACTATGCCTCCAGCTAGGCCTCCAGCCCTTTTCATTTTATTTTTGAGACGGACTCTCGCTAAGCCACGCAGTTTATGATCTTCCTGCCTCAACCTCTTGACTCGCTGATTCTCAGCAACCACCATGCCTGAATTAATTTCTTCTTTGGTACTTCCTCTTGGGTGCCTAGTAAGCATGTCCAAATTAACACAACCTGCGCCAAATTCTTCCTGCCCCTCGGAAAGACAGCAGTGCCTTCCAACTAGCTGCCCAGTTTCCAAACCTTTGAAGGCATCCTTGCTTCATGCCTAGTATTCTGGATGTCTGCTGAGCTCTCAGTACATCTTCCTGGCTCCACAGCTGAAGAATATCCGGAATCGAAGCCCCAGCCGCGGTGACTTCCTTACTGTGACCCTTTTCACTTACTGATCCTTCTGCCTGAACCGCTCTTTGCCCCAGATACCCACAGAGGCCATTAAACCCTTAGATCTTTGCTCAAATGCCACCCCAAAGCAATCCCTCCTTCACTTCCTGTTCCCTTACCCTTTTAAAGTCTTCTTTAAATTTTCTTGATGTAGCATGTGAATATTGAAATTAAACATAGTGAATATTTAAGTTAAACATTTACTGCAGTAAAAGATACTTTGCTATTAATTCCCCCTTGCTTTAAACACATCCCCCCTTCTTGTCACTTTCTGAAATAGTTCTAGCAGTCCTCTTGAGTGTCTTTAGTGGAACCCTTGAAGCTGCCTCAATGTCCTGAGCTAATTAAAAACATTTCCCTTTCATGGTCAGTTTGACTTTGGAGATGAGCCAGAAGTTGCCAGGTGCTAGCTTTGGTAAGTGAGGTAAATAAGGGTGCACCAAGGTTTTTTGTTTTTTTTTAAGTCAGTACCAAGGATTGAACTCACGACCACACACTTGCAAGGCAGGCACTTACGCCACTGAGCTAAATCCCCAGCCCCACCAAGATGTTTTCATAAGCCTGCCTTCCCACTGGCTGGTACTCAGCAGCCCAGTCACTGTACTTTATCTCACCTCATGAAGATGTGAAAGAGGACTTCAGAACTGCTTCACAAAATTGCAAGAGCAATAGGTTAAATGTGTTTAAATAAAGGTGGGTATTTTGAGGAGGTTAAGTGGTAATGTGCTTTTTACTGTAATAAAATATTTATGCATGTATTTTTATCGTACAATATATATTTATTTGCTTGTAAATATAAATGATTGTTCATTTTCTACCAACCCCACCCTCCACCTTCCTGGGATGGAGGAGACTCTGCCCCCCAGGCCTCATGTCCCCCATTCCTGGGCTGGGCAGACAGCTTGGTTCCCAGCCACTCACCATTCTGGAGTTGTAGATGGGTGACTTGACAGGTGCGGGCACAGGACAGTTGATTCGTTTCTCCTTTTGGCGTCGGTTGCAGAACCAGACCCTCACTACCTCCTTCTCCATGGACAGCTGCTCTGCAATCATGGAGATCTCCTCGGAGCTGGGTTTAGGGTTCTACAGGGACGGAGACAAGGAGTGTGGTGAGGAGGAGCTGGTGCACCGAGGAGGCAGGACTGAACCATGTAGCAATCAAAAGCTTCAGGATGAACCTAGCAGGGAACTCTGGATTTATCACTTACATACTGCGTATTCTTAGGGAAATTGTTTCTTTTGTAATTCAATTTTCATTAGTGCCGATTAATTTCTTTCTTTCTTTTTTTTTTTTGTCTTTTTCCTCTTTTATCAGTACTGGGGATCAAACTCAGGATCACACACTTGCAAGGCAGGCGCTTATGCCGCTAAGCTAAATCCCCAGCCCCAGTGCCTACTAATTTAACAAAATACTGGGCTTCACTGCATGTATTTTGAAAACATCCACCCATCATCCTTCTCCTATACCCCTCCTTTTTATTCTCTTCCTCTTCTTTAATAATATCTTCCCTTTCATCTCATTTTTATATTTTAGATTGCAAATAGTGGAGAGGACGTGATACTTGTCTTTCTCACTCATCTGTATCACTTAACATGATGATACCCAGTTCCATCCACTTTTCTGCAATTGACAAAAATTTGTTCTTTTTTATGGCCAAATAGTGTCCCATTTGTGTATACATATTTTCTTTATTCATGTATCTATTTATGGGTACTTAGGATGGTTCCACACCTTGGCTATTGTGAATTGTGCTATAATAAATATAGCTATGCCGAAACAGGTGTCCCCATAAAGTGCTGACTGCAGTTCCTTTGGGTATACACCAAGCAGTGGTATAGCTAGGTCAAATGGTAGCTCTATTTTCAGGTTTTTGAGAAATTTCCAGACTGACTTCCATGGCTGATGTTAATTTACGTTCCCACCAGCAGTGTGGAAGCATTCCTCCTGCCCACATCCTTGACAATACTTGTTGTTTGGATTTTTGATGGTGGCCATGCTGATTGTGGTAAGATGGACTTTCAGTGGGGTTTGATCTGCATTTCCTTAATGTCAAAAGATATTGAACATGTTCATATATTTACTGGTCACTTGTACTTCTTTTGAGAAATGTCTGTTTAGTTTATTTGCCCATGTATTGGTTGGCTATTTGGTATTAATTTCTGGAATTCTTTATATATTCTAGATATTAATCCTCTTAGAATAGTAACTGGCAAAGCTTTTCCTCCCATTCTTCTTTTTCTTCTTTTTTTTTTTTTCTTGTCTTTTTCATTTTTATCAGTACCGGGGATCGAACTCACGACCGCCTGCTTGTAAGGCAGGTGCTTATGCCGCTGAGCTAAACCCCCAGCCCCTTTCCTCCCATTCTTTAGGTCATTTCTTCACTCTGTTAGTTGTTTCCTTTGCTGGTAGAAATTCTTTCATTTGATATAATTCCTTTTTTTTTGGTACTGGGAATTGAACTGAGGACCTTGTGCTTGCCAGGCAGGCGCTGTGCAGCTGAGCTGTATCTCTAGCCCTGTTACCCCATTTGACTTTTGTTATTATTTCCTGTGCTATTAGAGTTTTATTCAGGAAGTCTTTGCCTGTGTTTATGGCTTCAAATATTTCTCCTATATTTTCTTCTAGCAGTTTTAAAATATTAGGTCTTATACCTAAGTCTTTGATCTACTGTGAATTTTATTTTTGCAGACAGTGAAAGATAGGATTCTAATTTTAATCTTCCACATACAGATATTTGCTTTTCCTAGCACCATTTGTTAAAAAGACTGTCTTTTCTTCAACATATTTTTGGTTTCTTTGTCAAGAATCAGATGGCTGTAGCTGCGTGTTTGTTCCTGTATTTGCTATTACATCCTGTTGGTCTATGTGTCTATTTTTGTCCCATTATCATGCTATTTTTATTACACTGGCTTTGTAGTAAAATTTGAAATCAGATTTGTGGATTCCTCCAGCCTTGTTCTTGTTGCTTAGACTTTCTTCAACTATTCTGGCTCCTCTGTGTTTTCATACGAATTTTAGGATTTTTTTTCCCTGTTCTGTGAAGAATGTCATTGGAATTTTGATGGTGATTGCATTGACTCTATCAACCACTTGTGGTGATATGGCCATTTATTAACATTAATTCTTCCAGTTTGCAAGGTCGTTCTGTTTTCTAGTATCCTGTTACCTTTCTTTCTTTCTTTTTTTGTATTTTTACTGGTACCAGGGATCGAACTCAGGACCACACGCTTGTAAAGCAGGCGCTTATGCCACTGAGCCAAATCCCCAGCCCCTTACCTTTCTTTCTTTAGTGGTCTGTAATTTTCATTGTAGAAGTCTTCATCTCCTTGTTTAGGTATTTTTTAAAGCTACTGCGAATGGAACTGTTTTCCTGATTTCTTTGCAGTTGGTTCATTACTGATGTATAGAAAAGACATTGTGTTTTTAAGGTTCATTTAGTGTTCTGTCTTTTTTCCTGTGAGGTACTAGGGATCGAACCTGGGGCCTCAACATGCTCAGCAAGTGCTCTACCACTGAGCCGTATAACCAGTTTGTATTCATATTCATATTTATAATTTTAAAGACAGTTGCCCAGGTGGATCTTGACCTTGCAATCCTCCTGCGTTAGCTGGAATTACAGATGTGTGTCACTGCTGATTTTAATTCCTGTAGTATATACAGGTCTCATCTACAAAGTGAGAAAGACAGCGGCTACCATGTAGGATTATGGTGAAGATTAACCGAGGAAGTACGGGAGCCACCAAGCACAGGGCCCTTACAGGGAAGAGGTTCTGCAAGGTGCACCTCTTCCCACCCTGCCTTCCTCAGCAGCAGTTAAGAAGAGAGGGCTCTGGATGAGTTATAGGGGGCAGGAGAAAAAGCCCAGCAACACATGTTCCCTGCGAGTTTTTTCCCTCAACTGTATATCTCCTTTTCCCTTGCCATCACTTCCTAGAAAATGAGGAAACTAAAACTCCCAGGTTTGTTAAGTCTGCAGGATAGCAATATCACACATCATTTGAGAGCAACACAGTCTTGCTGAGCCCCCTCCCAACCCAGTCTGTGGTTGGAGCTCATTTCTCCACACTCCTGCACCCTCCCTTAGCCATGCTGCTCTGAAAAACCTAAAAAGAAGGACAAGCCAGCTCTTGTCTCCTGCCAGAAGAACACAGCCTTCAGCTCCGCATGCGGATGCAGGGGGGATTGGCTGGAGGGACAGCAGTCCTGGCGCCAGGCCCAGCGAAGACCTGCAGCACCATGGAAGCTCTGGAGGCCGGGGCCTGGGGACCCTGACTTGAAAGCACTTCAGCCCTCGTGTTCTTCCCTCGTCTCTACCCCAGCACCCACTGGGCTCACAGCTTCCACACACTGCCTCAAGAATATGGCTTTGCCACAAGTTCAAAATCATATGGAAACATGAAATACAATCACAAGCATTCAAATGTGCATGAAAAAAAGGGAAAGAGAGCACGTTCAGGTGGCTTTCAAATTCTTTGTTTCTACTTCTCTTTCTGCATTTTCCAAATTATTTAGAACATGCATTTATTTTCTTTATTTATATTTTGGTACTGGGGATTGAACTCATGACTTCATGCTTGCCAGGCAGGTACTTGTGCCACTGAGCTAAATCTCCAGCCACTAGAATGAGCATTTATTACTTTGTTTTTTTTTTCAGGATGGAGGGATTGAGCCTAGGGAGCACTGAACTGCATCTCCAGCCCTTTAATTTGTTTGTGTGTTTTATTTTGTTTTATTTTTATTTTCCAAGATAGGGTTTTGTTAAGTTATCCAGGTCAGCCTAAAACTTGGGATTCTCCTCCCCAGTCTCCTGAGTAACTGGGGTTATAGGAGTGTACCACCACAGCTGACTTACTACATTTTAAATTTGGAATACACAAAGTCTTATCTCAAAGAAAATGAAGAATTATACACAATGCCCTGTCTTTGTTCCCTTTACGTCAGTTGGATATAAAAATACACTGTATCCTGGAACCCCATATTCCAGTCTTTAGATTTCCTAGTGACAGGGACAGCAAACCCCAAATAAACATCTGGGCAAGAAGGGTCAGTGAAGGGAAGAAGCTTCTGGAACCGTAGATGCAGGGCCACCTGCCACTCAGATCCCTGGGCACCCGGAGAGGGAGGGTGACTTGGCCTCTGACCACTTCTCAGTAGGTGCCTGGCCTCCTGCTGTACAGTGTCTGCTTGGCCACCTGCACGAGCCGGCCCGCCCACTCCCACCCAAGGAAGCTGCTCACATCCTGAAATCTCTTCTCCAGAGTCAGGCGGATGTTGGTCTCAATACTGGTCCGTTTCTTCCTCTTCCTGCCAAACACTTCGCTGAGGGTGGGGTAAGAGCTGGGTGTGCTCACTGAGGGGTCCGATGGAGACGACTCTGGAGAGAGAGGAAGGGGCAAAGGGAGCTCAGAGGCGTGGATAGGTGGCCGGGTTGAGCCCTGCCCTAACAGACTTGGGGTCCAACACCCCTTCCCAGTGTGCTCTGCAGTGGCATTTTAAGGACCAGCCCCCTCCCCCAGCAGGGGACCCCAAACAGACCGAGACTCCTGCTTCTCCTCGTTGCTCAGGGCAAAGGTCCTCCATGCCTCCCACTGCAGAGTCTCCAATGTTTGTGGTCATGGTTCAGGGAGGCCCCGGCATCAGCGGCATGTGTGGGTGTGAGTGGGCACAGGCAGGGCTCCTACAAGTAATGCTCGCCAGTCTGTCTTTTATAGATTCGCCTGGATGTGAATACCAAGTATGGTGGGAAATGGCCTCTGACAGCCAAAAGCACTGGCATTTGGTGGCAGAATGTCGACGCTGAAGCCCTTTGTTCATCAGAGCAAGCACTGGAGCTCAGGTGCAGAGCAGACAGGAGGCATGTGCCTTTGGAGGGGCTCAGGTGTCAGGGCGAGGAGCCTCACTAGAAATGATCTCCAAGGCTCTTTCCCTACAATCTCAGGGCCCTCTGATCATTTCTTGTACTCCAGTGGTTACTTCAATGCTGTCTCAAGGACGTCCTGGTGAAGGAGGTGGGGGATCCTCTCTGTTGCCTCCCATGGTTTTGCATGGAGGGACTCCCATGAGGGTCACACTGCTGGCTGCCACCCTAGTCCTGCTGCCCCTTCCACAGTGACCACTAATCCACGGAACAGAAGCCAGGCCTGCATTCTGGCCCCTTTTCTCACCACTGAGGCCAAGGGCTCTCAGTCAGAGACCACCACTCTTCACCACCACCATCGTTCTGGGGATACACAGCAATGTCTGGAGATACCTTGGGATGTCTTGACTGGGGGCAGGTGCTACTAGTTAGAGACTAAGAATGCTGGCGACTGTCCTGCAATGGCTGTCCTCCCAAAGGTTTATCTGGCCCTAAATGTCCATAATACAAAGACTGAGAAACCCTGCTTAGGCCTGTCCTCTGATACCAAACTCTTCAATACTCCAATACCAATGGTTCACATGCTTGACCTCCTGGAAGGGCTGGATCCTAACTGAATCCTCCTGCAAACCCCACTCCTGGTGTAAGACTTTCCAGTTTGTCTAGACTACAGTCACTGCGTAGACACTGGATCCTGCTCCAGAACTAGGCAGGTAAAGATGCTGTGCTGTGCTTGGGACCCCCAGTCCAGGGCCCACTGCCTTATCTTCTTGTCCTAAGCTTATTCCAGACAATAACCTTGTACAGGTGTCTGCTCTGAAGACCCAAAATTTGTCTTTAGGGAGTTGTCTAGGCTAGGTAGATCTGGGGTGGGCAATGGGACAGAGTAGAAACAAATCTTCATAGTCACAGACCTAAAACCATGTCCTCTAAAAGATTTTTCCTCAGTAATAATGGTAACATTTTCACCTCACCTTTATCCTGTGTCTTATTTCTCAATTCTTTCTAAGCTCGAGAGAAGAAGGAAGGGCTGCTATGTCCTGACCCTCTAAAGCCCAAAATAGACAAATCATGGAATCCTATGGAATCCTTGGGGTACTCCTGCTCATTCCCCAGGGGTCTACCTGCATCGTTCAGCCACTTTTCCAGCAGGGGTTTGAGCTTGCACATGTTCTTAAAGCTCAGGTTGAGAGCCTCGAACCGTGAGATGGTGGTCTGGCTGAAGTCATTGCCATACAGCTTCCCCATCGCCAAGCCTACATCTCCCTGTGCAAGAGATGGAGAGTGAGGAACCTGAGAGGCAGACTCGTCCTCTCCACACACGTCTCCCACCACCCTAGAGCACATCGTACACCCAAACAGAACCCGAGGCATCCACCTTCGCTCCTTTCCAGGTCTTTTCCCTCTAGGATGGAGAACTGGTTTATGTCCCTCCCTGGGCTCTGAATGGATTGTGCCTCAGTTTCCCTTCTACTGGCAGCTTTGCCCCGTTCTTAGGGAACTCAGGGACTAATGGGCCTTCTCCAAACACGCTGAGCTTTGAGTTGCTCTTACACCTGCCACTTGGGAAGTTCAGGACTCATTCACCCAATTTCTTCCATTATCCTCCCCTAAACCAAACCTGTGTGAAGCCCAGCTTGATGCGTCGCTGCTTGAAGGTCTTGGCAAACTTCTCCAGCTCCTCCAGGTCGCTGGGCTCATCAGCCCCTGCAGAACTAGGTAGATGTTTGGGTGCTGGGAGATGCTGTGATGCTTCTAGGTGGGGTTCTAAAGAGGATCCTGGCAGCCCAGAGCGCCCAACTGCCTGATAAGGGAACACATGCCAAGCAGATCCACAAGGATTCAGCACACCGAGCAGCATTCTCTGGTGTTTGTCCCTGACAACTGAACTTAGAGGATGGCAAATCTTTGGGTGCATTGAGTCCTATTTTTTCAGTGGTGTGGACCTGGAAATTGGAGTCTTAGTGAAGACTAGCAAAAAACTAGCATCCTGGATGAAACAGGAGGAGTTCAGGGTGAGGAGGTAGCTTTTCTGGGTCTTAGTCTGTGACTCACTATTGGACTCTGAGCAGGGTACTTCCTCCTTCCAGTTTCCCACCATAAAAGGAGTTAGCAGTATTGTTTGCAGAGATTCCACAAACAAATCTCATAATGGGGCACGGAAAAGGTTGTTTGCCTTGTCTGTTCTTTTCCACAAAGCAAGGTAACTGAGACATCAATGTGTACCAACTGAAACCAGAGGACCCTGGAGGACTCATGATATCCACAGGACTTGCATACAATCTGCAATGCTCATGAGTGCCATTCTGCTTTCTACACCACCATTTTCTTTTGTGACAATATTTTTATTTTAATCTGTGCCATCTAAATGGACCTTGATCTCATCTGTGGTTGTTGAGACATACTCTTGAGTGTTTTCATAGGAAAATGTGCCCCTTAAAAGAAGAACTGTACTCATTTGGTGCCAGGAATGGATCCACACTTGAAACATTTATTATTCCACAAAGATGGCACATGATCCAGGACTAGGGCTTCAGGGTCAGTCAAAGGCTACTGCCCATGTAGACAACTTGGGTTAAACACCTCCTCTTCTCTCTCCTTCCCTGTTTGCTCTTTTCCTAAGCTAAGTTAGCTCCTTCTCCCTTGCAAATATTCAAGTTTACCGTTCAGGTAGGTAAAAGTACCAGAGACGAGGACTTTTCCCCATAAGAGGCTGTTACAACAGAGTGGTTTAAACCGTCCCAGAGTGGGCCCTGATTTACAGGGAGAGGCTGTGCAGGGAGACTAAGACTATCAGGACTAAGTCTCAGTATTCCTTTTTATTGATTCACTCGATCTTTCATTTACAAGTACTTAGTGAGTGATCTGCAAGACTTTCTCCCTCTCCCCTTCATATCTGATCAGTTGCCAAATTGTATTCATTGGATTTCCCAAAGCATCATTTTGTTCATTCCCTACATCTTATTGCCTCACTCTAAGCCAACCTCTTTCTACCCCTCCTTAGGATTTCTTTTTGGGACAGGGTCCCAAGGCTGTCCCGGGCTGGCCCTGAACTCCTGGGCTCAGAGGATCTCCTGCCTCAACCCTTACTAACCTTCTAAATGGTCTGTCTTCCTACTAGTCTCCTTGTGCTCAGATATCAGAAGATGGGAGAGTTCACCTAGAATGCTCCGGAGGACGGCTCCCAGCTCTGGTCTCTCACTATCAGATTCTGGGGCCAGCAGCCAAGAGAAGCGCAGCTTGACTCTGGTGTCTCCGCTTCTTTTAACCACTAGGTGGCGCCTCCCCTTTTCGGGTGTTTTTAGTGGACTCTGCCCCCGGAAAACCCGGGTCTTCACTGGACCCAGGGGATCTTAGCACAGAAGGTCATTACTGGCCTCTACAGTCATTTCTGTGCAGGGCCAAGTCACGAGGGGCACAAGACAAGGGGAAAAGTGGCAGCCAAGACTCAGCCATGCTGCTGCAGGCAAGCCTCATTACCCCTGTTTGAGGCCACACAGAGGAGGAGATGTTTCTTTCTTTCTGTCTCTCTCTTTCTCTTCGTGCAGTTGGCAACTAGGTGCTAATATGGAACCATAGCAGCTTTGCAAATAGCTCCTCTCCCAGCCCTGGGTGAGACCGACTCAGACACACAGACACTCAGACGCTCAGACACACGCCCGCCATTGGCCCAGTCTGGACTGGAGGCCCTGTGGTGGGACACGTGTCCTGGTGGTATGAGACAGCAGGCCTATCACATTCAGGTTTCCCTCTCAGCTAGGCAGAGCTGCTGGCCACCATGCATCCTGGGAAGCTAGATGAGCCCCAGTTCTTTGGTACGGATTTGTCGCAGGCTGGCCTGGGAGTTGGATTCTCTGGGTGCTTTTTTGTTTGTGTGCAGACTGAACCCAGGGCCTTTTTACTGAGCTACATCTCCAGGCCATTTAAGACTTTTTTTTTTTTTTTTTATTCTGAGGCAAGATTTCATTAAATAGCCCAGGTTAGCCTCAAATTTGTGACCCACCTGCCTCAGCTTCAAAGAAGAGTAGGATTACAGGCGTGCACCACCATCCTCGGCTTTTAAAAAATCATCCTAAACTTTTTTTTTTTTTTTTTTTTTGCTGTGTTGAGGATTGAACTCAGGGCCTTTGCTCTGAGCTAGATCGCTTGCCCTTTTACTTTTCATTTAGAGACAGGGTCTTGCCAAGTCACCAAGTTGCCCAGGTTAGTCTCAAACTTGCAATCCTCCTCGGTAGGACCTTTGGGAATGCGGGGATTATCAGTGTGCGCTGCTACACTGGGCTCGGGTTCCTCCTTTGCCCTTTGATGATATTGGATAAACTCTGTTTGCTATAGTTTGAATCTCCTCTGTGCTATAAGAGACAGTTCCGGGCTGATCTCTCTTTCCAGAGGGACCAGTGCCCTGCTAAAGGGGCAAGAATACCCCAGTGAGCTGTACTCAGCCCAGCCCTGAGAGGTTCCTAGAGGAAACCTGAGGAATGTGGGTATTTACCTGGGATGCCAGGCTAGGCCCCGTCTGTGGGAGGAGGAGGCTGCTTTGTTGCTGTGGAAAGGGGAGGAGATTCGGCTGTAGACCTGGGTGAAAGGGGAAGGCAAGGGAAAAAAATAAAATCCAGGCCACCTGATAGACAACTTGACACTGGAACCATGAGAACTGTCTCCACCCTCTGCCACCAATTCAGGTCCCACAACCCACCCGAGGCCCTGTGGAGAGGCCCCCCTAGGCATGGCCAGGCATTGCCACACACAGGTGGAGGCCACCCAGACCAGGCGCAAGGATAAACAGACGTGTAAACAACATCCCCAAACCAGTCCTGCTTGCACGCCAGCCTGGAGAGGCGCAGAGGCTAAGGAAGGTCAAGGCGATCTAGCTGGGATCTGCCTGGCAGGGCTGGAGAACCCAGAGGGGCGGGGAGTGGAAGGGAGGTGGGGCGGCTACCGAGAACCCTGTGGGGGCTGAGGATTTCAGTGCTTCCGGAAGGGAAGTATCTGGGAGGGCCACGAAAGCCCAGCGGAATCTGTAACATGTCAGAGCAAGCAGATGGTGCCATAAGGCTCTGAAGGGCACCGGGCTACTGGCCACAGGCTGCTGGTGACTAGGACCCTGCACACCTGGGATGAATGGCTGAGAATCTGGGAACCCCCCTGGGCAGAACAGAGTATTCCTCCTTGATATACAGCCTGGGGACTTCCCCTCCTTCCCAATCCAGGAAAATGGCCTGTGACAACTCCTGCCTAGTCAGGGCCACAACAGATGCCTCCCTTCATATGAGGCCATTGCAGAGACGTCTCACTTTGACAGCAGGAGGTCATCAAACCACCAAAGCAAGTCACCCCGGTCACCCAGCACACAGAAGCATTTTGGGGTGTCTGTTGTCTTTAGGGATCCTTGACACACAGCCCCTGTGGATGGTGACCTTTTTGCTCTTCAATCTCAAAAAGTCAGGACATACTTGCTCTTTGTTAAAATAAACAAGTAAGAAATCTCTTACAAGGAGCCCTTGTGGTGTATCTGCACCTCTCCAGGCAGGTATGGTAAGTCCGGTCTTGGAATCTGGAGGCCTACGTACTAGTAGCAATCCTAATATTTATATTGAATTTTGAAATATAGAAGTCTTTTCACTATATCAATATTTTATAAGGTGTGACTCTTACCATTATGCCTTTTTAGATTTTGCCAAATTCCTCTCATTTTTTTTCAATTTTTATCTTTTATTAGTACTGTAATTGAATTACATAATGAATGTATGCCTTGCAGAAAATTGGTACATAAGAACGCATCTTAAATCTATTTTTAAAAATCTCTTTCCTTCCCGTCCCCTCCTTCCACCTCTTGATCCCCTTCCTATTTGAACACAATCTAGCTCCCTTCTTCCTATTACCTATTTTTTGTTTTACCCCTTATTTAGATTTTGGGTTTCCCATGTATGAGAAATCATGCAGTATTTAAACCTGGATCTGATGTATTTTGCTAAACATTATGGCTGTGGAGGATGCACACAGCTAGTAAGTATTTTTTTCTAAATGAGTTTTTCCCCCCATTTTAAACTCTTTTCCATCCTGTATCATATACTGTATCATATACTCATTGGTTATGTGGTAGGCAATTTTCAGATCACTGCAGTTTTTTGAAAACTGAATTAATAGTTACGTTCCCTTTCCTGTTTCAGGACTGTGATACATATATTGTTTAGCTGAAAAATAAACCCTTAGAAATGCAAACATGCTCCCACTCACCCTGGAAACTAAGGATGGGTCTATACTTTGGGCAGGTGCTGGTGCCAGGACGCAAGGCAGAGGTAAATTCTGTTTGGATACTGAATTTCCAAAGCCCCTACTTGGGATCTGTGTCCTTGACAAGAGTTTCTACCTCCTCCATCATTTTGCTGCGAATAGTTGAATCTGCTGGTTCTTGGCCAAGGAGGGAGGTCCCTAGGAGTAACTTCCCTGACAGAGAGCTTGAAAACCCCTCCTGCAGCCTGTGGGAGGCAGTGCTACTCCACCCAAACGGCTTCTGGAAAGCAGTGAATCCAAAGAACAGGGACTCCTTGGCTTCTCTTTCCTTGCCCCCTCCCCAGCCCTTCAGCCCCTTAGCCCTGTCTCTCCAGGACTTTTAGAAAGTGGGGAAGCGCTGGCAGGAGGCTAGGCAGGGCGTTAAGCCTGGAGGGCACTGCAAGGAGTCCTTCCTCAGCCCTGGGTGACCAGCTGGTCTTACTAGTAGAGGGACAGGCAACTCCCAGGGCTCCACACCCAGCCATCAGTGACAGCTGCATGTGACCCAGCTGGTGTGAAATTCTCAAGTTCTTACCTTGCTGCCCGGGCTGGGTCTGAGAAAGCAGGAACTGGGACACTGACTGCAAGTGACCAGGGACCAGCACAAGCTGCTGGAGTGGATGGAGAGAAGCCATGTCCTACACAGGGGAAGACACACACATGTCAGAGAATTTCCCCCTGCCCCCTCAGCCTGCAGCCCAGCCAGCCTGTGGCATTCCAGGCTCTGGAAGTTTGCAGGCAGCGACCTTGGCTCATGCCTCTGTGTGTCCTCAGAGTATGGCACATAGTAGCTGCTCCACTGATGCTGTTATTATAGCTTCTGTACTCTGCCAACTGATCCTTGCAATATCTGTTAGTCAATTCTGTCTCATGATTTGACTTTCCTAGTGTCAGTCCCATCCTGTCTCCCAACTGTAAATGCCCTGACCACTGAGAATTCCCTGTATCTCAAATGTTTATCCTAGAAATAGCTTGCAACCCCAGCAGTGCTTTTTGCTTCTTTTTCTACATCTCTTGTCACTTGATTATTCTAAAAGTCATGCTTTGGTCACTGGGCCCGAGTCTTTCTGGATGGTATTAGAGTGGGAATTAGGGGATGGGTCAAACTATTCATTCTTAATAAATTCAGTTTGGTTAAAGAAAAAGCCCATTTCCCTGGGTTTGTTTCACCAAGTCAGATCTTGGAAACAGTGATTCCCATATGTGAGGTCCCAGGAGTCCTTGGCGATCAGACCTCCTGGGCTCTGTGCCCCGTGGCTGGGCACAGGCCTGCATATGTGGTGACTTGATAAACCTTGCTGTGTGAAAGTGTGGAGGAATGGCTACATATTCTCTCCTTAAGCCTTGCTGGAAGAAGGGTGCTCTTTCTCCTCGGGTGACCCACACTGAGGATTGATGGCCACCAGTGTGCTGTCTCAGCCTATGTCTGTCTTCCTCTAGCCGCAGCCCATTCCACTTTGACTTTGACACATAATCTTCGAGGAGGCAGAAATCTGTAACTGTACGAGTTGTCTTAACACTAATGCCCTGAAAGTGGTCCAGCAGACGACAGCAACACGGCTGCTCGGTCCTTGCCTGGGCAAGACTGGTTCCTCTTTGTTTTGTAGAGTGAGAAAACCGCTTTTTTTTATTCCTGGCCAGGCTTTATTTCACAAGGACGGTTTTAGAACCCCAAGCCCACTAGGCCGCCTAGACCTTTCTCCCATTGCCCCTGAGGGATTACTTTTCTGTCTTCTTTTGTTTTTTTCTTCCAGGGCTTTCCACATGCTAGACAAGCTCTCTACCATTGAGCTATATGTCCAACCCTACGGGGTTCTTTAGATCTATACTGATTCTCAGGTGCCCAGTATGGAGCCCTGCAGAGGGACTGGATTAAACTCACTCCTACACTGAGATACATGCTGCTCTGGCACGGAGTGCTGCTTACCCCAGACATCTGGTTTCCGGGCATCACGGCAGGTCCTTGGCTCAGGTGGCATGGCCGATGGGGCAGGGTCTGCTGCAGGGAGTCACTGAGGTCCTCTGTTTTTATCTGCAAGTGAAGGTCGGGGGAGCGTGTCAGTTCTGAGCCTCTCTGGCCAGACAGAAATGGAAATGGGGAGACCAAGGCTGGAGACAAGTGACAACCCAAGCAGAGAGAGCTAGCCCAGTGCCCTCGGGCTGCAGCCTGCAGACCCTGCTAGAGGGTTCCTACCACCCAGGCTGCTGGTCAGTGCAACAACTGGATTCTTGAGTGCCAACCTGCAAGATGGGGAGTCTAGTGTGGTTAATGCTCTTACTCAAGAAAAAGAGAAAAATCAGGATAGTACAGTGAGTTTTCAAAGTAAAGCTTCTGAATTAAATTCTGGTGAATTCTTCTTTTAATTTGAGTAATACATAATTTCTCTCCTTTTTTGTGGTAGTGGGGACTGAGCTCAGGGCATCAAAACCAAGGCTCATACGTGGTAGAAAAGTGCTTTGCTGCTAAGCTAAATCCCCAGGCCAGTAATACATTTTTTTTTTTACACAATATATCCAAACACAATTTCGACACGTGGTCAGTATTCCAATTACTAAGCAAACATCTTACTTTCTTTTTTACGATGTGAAGTCTGTGAAATCCAGTGAGTATCATATCCTTACACCACATCTCAACTCAAACCAGCTATACCTCAGGGGCTCAATAGTCTCATGGGGCTGGACCTAGCCAGCTACTCAGTAACCCTCCCTGGTTTGTTTGATTGATTTTTTTTGTCTTTTTGAGACGGGGTCTCACTATGCAGTTCAGCTGGCCTTGAGCTCACTTCATAGCCCAGGCTGGTTTTGAACTCCCAAGGATCCTCCTGCCTCAGCCTCCTGAGTGCTGGGATTACAGGCATGAGCCACCACACCCAGCTTTGATTGATTTTTAAATTCTGGTAAATTCTAAGAAGATATTTTTTATTTTCTTAGAGGGAAGGGATATTAGAATTTCTTTTATGAAATGATGGCAATCCTAAATGGCATTTTTAGAAGTTCCCTACCAAAAGAGTAAAAAATTATCAGTCTTTTATTGAGCTTCTCTACAGTCTGTTTTTTAACTTTCCCGCGTGGACACCCATCCGTGAGACCCCAAAGCCTGTGAACTACGGATCTGGAGGATTCTATTTCTCTCCATCATCACTTATTCTCCACCATCTCTGTGCTCTGCTGCCTCTGTTGTGGCCCTCTTAGCCTGTGTGGCTTTGGGGACAATATCTGCCTGTCGCCCTACAGGCAGGAACATGTCTTCCTCACAGCCACGCTGCAGACGCAGCCCGAGGGGCCAGCGGTGGTTTCCAGCTCTCTTTAGTCTCTACCACCATTCAGTGACAAATGAACCACCCACTCATGGGCTTTCCAGGTGTCCATGGGCAGGGCAGGAAGCACCACAGGGCTCACCCTCCCCCACCCCAGAACAAATGCCTTTTGCAGCTTTTCAGAAAGTGCCACTGGGACGGGAACCCTGTGACTCTAATTCTTACAGGACAGTAAGGGGCACAGAATCTAGCCCACGTCTTGTAAGAGACATTAGTGAGACCTTCTGCATAGGACACCTGCTTGTCTCCTACCTAAATGGAAATCTTGGCAGTAGAGATTCTGACTTAAACCACTTTCTAGGTCTACACTGAGGGTATCACTGGCATCTGTGACCCTTTCCTCTTGCTATTTGAGTCACCCAATTAAAAGTTCAGACTAGCATGTGTATTTGCACTTCATCGCTGTGGAAAATAGTGCTTTACATCACTGCAGAAAGAATCCTCTTTGGTTTGACAGGAAGACCCTGCTGAATGACCCCAGTGACTTACTGGAGGGGAGCTACTTATGGAACCTGTGCACAGTAGGAGCCCAAGAAATGTCAACTGCACAAAAGTCAAACAAAACCCACCTCTGCAGAGCCTCTGATGAGGTACAGTGAGGAAAACACTGCACGGTGGCCATGCTGACCCTGTCCTACCTCTGACTCTTAACCTGCTATGTCATCTCTCAGCCTCAGTGGACTCGGTTTCCCCATCTGTTATATGATCTACGTGGCTTTTCTCCTTTTCCTAACACAGAATGACCAGTTTGAATCCCTTGTACATTTGGCAGATGGCTGGCCCAGGTTGCTGGAGTACTCTCAGAGGAGCTCTCAGAGAACATCAAAGCCCTGGGTGCCCAGAAATTGGTAAGAAGTGTCAATGGCACTATGGGGACATAGAGTAACTTGCTGAAAACTGCAAATGCCTCGCACCTGGGAACCTGGGTGGTCTCCAGGGAGCCCCTTTCCCCAGCCCACTCCCCTTTAACTCTGCCCATCATGCTTGGTGCCTCCAAGAAGTGCTAGTGTCTGACTTCTGTGATCAGAAATCAGTCTTTCCATGTCCTAGATGTTGTGGGATCATTTGTTAGCAGGCTTTTAAAAACTAGAAATAGAAGATGAACCTGTTTCAAAACTCCCACCACCACCACCACAGCAGCTTCAAGGTTTGGTCTGAGAGGAGACTTTACATGGGCAAAGTCCCTTTGGCCAGCTGCTCATTGCCACCTCTTTCTACTGTGTCCTCCTCTGGCCCCAAGGCATGCCCATCCCTGAGGCAGGTTGGGGAGGAAGGAGGAGAGGAAAAACATGGAAACCCGCTGGTGGAACCACCTAGGACTGCTTGGCACAGTCCCAGCTCGGAGGCAAGTGGCGGGTTCCTTCCAGACTCATTATGCGTAATGGAGAGATAAGGAGGTGCAGCCATGACACAGCTTGAAAACATTTGCTGTGCCTCCAACCTGGGTGCTATCTGTTAGAATCAGTGCCAGGTCTTCCTGCAACACTTAATTTCAGAAACCAGCGCCATCATAAAAGAAAACTCACCCTTTCATCTGCTTCCTGGTTCAATTGCCCTCCAAACCCTTTTGGGGGACTCTCTCGACTTCCCTGTGCTCAAAATGAAATGCCTGAGAGTGGAGAAGTCCTTTGGATTTAGTCTGGGGCTTTCTGAAACTCTGCATATTACTCTTCTTCTTCTGTTACATTTGGCTTCTCCAATCTATTGAGGTAAATGGGAGTAACCTAATTACTCTCATTTTTCCTAATTCCTCACCCCTGCATGTGAGGTGCTTGACAGTAATGTCAAAAGAAGACAACCCTAAAAATATTAAATCAAAAGGCAACCAGAAGAGCTCTTGCTGGATGACAAGACCAGCTCAGCTTTGTCAAGCTGGGGTATACTCAGCAGGACGACTTGCCTACCATGTGTGAGGCCCTGGGTTCCATGCCCAGCACTACCAAATCAATCATTGAAATGAAATGAAACCTTTGCTTTGCTCAGTGGATCTTGGAAAGGGCAGAGGAGAGAAGGGAAATGGGGCTGACTCCTCCTGACTCTAGCATTCTTTTTGGATACTCTCAGGGTCTCAGAAACTTAGGAATTAAGAAATAAGTCCTCTCTAATTCAAAAAAATCCCTTTTCATAGCTGTTAAGTGGAAAAGGCTGGAACCTTTCCAGATGACTGGGTGTTGGCTGTGGGTCTGGAAGATGAGATAGAGAAGCTTCTGTTGGATCCCACTAACTTCTAAGGCAAGAACCGCAGGCAAATTGGATGAAAATCCAATTTCCCCCATACTTGTGAAAACCCAAGCAAACCCACAGCCTGCCTGGGATCACTGCATCCAGGGGCCCTTGGAAGTTCTTACAGGAGCAGGGGATTTCTCCAGGCTCTCCTTGGGATGGCCAGTCTTGGGGACAGGGACCAGTATAGCGCTCTGCCCTGTGTCATGGTCCATCTATCAGACAAGACTTCTGTGTTTGGAATCTTCTCCTCATGCTGTGCAAAGATACTACACTGAGTCTTGGTAGTGACCAGGGAGGTAAAAATGTATCATGAGTGTTCATCTTGTCTATTCCAAGTGAACTCTCTGACTTCACTTCAAAAGTCGTGGAGGTCTTATTCTGGGACAAGAGGCCCCTTCTGAGGAGGTGGACGCCTTTCACACATTCTGCTCTGGGCTCTACCTCTCATCTCAGAGGTGAGAATGGAGGTTCATCTTTCCATCTCACAGATGCCAAGAGAACTTCAGAGATGGGCATAAAGTTCTACAGCAGGCCATTCGCAAAATTCTGAGAAAAGCATGGTCTCCTGACCCTTCCCTGGTGTTCTCTCCCTCATACAATGCACAAACGTCCCAGGTACAGTAGAGAGAATGCATCAAAAGTGATGGGCGAGGTAATATTCCAGCCCAAAATGTATAATGGGAACTCACTGCCGCCCACCAGGTTTTTGTTATTGTTTTGTGTTGCTGAGGATTAATCCCAGATCCCCGTGCATATTAAGCAAGTGCTCTACCACTGAGCCTCCCCCCCCCCCAGTCCTTTTCACAATTTGTTTTGGGACAGGGTCTTGCCATGTTGCCTAGGCTAACACTAAATTTGCAATCCTCCTACCTCAGCCTATCAGAGATAATAGTCATGTTCCACCATGCTCAGCCCTGATCATGTGTTTTGGGGTCTCGGAGTGGCACGGGATAAGACTGGAGTACTTTCCCTTAGCCCCCTCCCTGGGACATTTTCACATGACCCTTTCTGGGGGGAAAACAATCCAACACTAATGAATATATCACTAGTGATGAAAATGATCAAAGCTGTTGTCCTAGTTGCATAACTCGTTTGTGGAAAGTGTTTCATAAACATTTCACAAGAAGGAGCATTTCAAAGCGTGAACATCTCCCAACCTGCCTTCAATTACAGGCAAGGATTTTTTTTTCTTTTCCCTCCCCCCACACCTTCTATGCTTCTCCCTAGCAATGAGGAAGAGTTTCTGTTTTGTAACTAATCTATAAGGAGCTGGCAAATGTGATCCTCATGAAAACATTCTAAAAATATATCCCAAGTGGCGGGATGGGGCAGCCAGCTAACTCAGGTGAACAAGGCTAAAAGTACCCGACTGAGGTGAATGTTGGCTGTGGTATTCATTTGTTTGTTTTGTTTTGTTTTTCAGTGCTAGCAATGAAATCCAAGGTCTTGCACATATTGGGCAAGTGCTATTGCCGTGAGCCACTGTCCA